ATCCAGGAGAAGTATTTATAACCCAGGAAAACTAAAAGAAATGAAATACCATTGCCACAACCAACTTCAATTTCAATGGCGCCAAAATTCAAACTTCCTTCTCTGCTTATTTCTCTGTTCTATCTGTCCATTTCTCTGAGTATTTCATCATCTTCATTTGCCTGTGTTATGGAAGGGGTTCTGAATTCGTTATCCTTCGCTACTTTACATACTAAAAACTCCATGGGAAAGGGCTAATCAGGCTGCGTACGAATCACTCACCAGGGCCCAAAACATCAAATTTTACCAAACCGGAATATCTACCCTGATCGGATCTTACACAATTTCCCTCCAATTCGGCACAACGCCACAAAACATAAGGTTATTGCTGGACACGGGAACCAGCCAATCGTGGTTCCCATGCACTGATCATTGCAACTGCTTCGATTGTCACCTGGAAAGCAAAAATCCCAAGATTATTTCAAATTTCATCCCCAAAAACTCCACTTCTGCAAATATATTGGGGTGCACAAGCCCAATACCACCAACATCATGAAGATGATTTCCAGTTCACATGTGAAGGTGATGAACGCCGAGGTTTTCCAATTGGTGTTTTCTAATTTGAAAAACATATGGATCAAATTTATGTCAGAGCTGCTGAGGTTCTACTTTGAAAGCGGAGGAAAGATGGGATCCCAATGGAGGATAATTTTGAGCCCTTCACTGATGTGGTTTGTTTGACGCTGCTTTCTGCTCAATCATTGGGGGGACTTCAATCGGGGCCATCTATAACTCTTGGCAATTATCAGCAGCAGAACCTTTACTTGGAGTTTGATTTGGAAAATCAGAGACTTGGATTCAAGGAACAAATTTGCTGAATCTTTGTTTCAGTTTGTTGTGGAAGTGTCATCATGATCGCCAATGCATGACTAATTTACTCACCAAGAAGGCAATGTCCGCAAGCCATCTAATATTGTTGTTTTCATTTTAACCTTTTTGCGCCTACCGCGAATTTTTAAATGTTCCTTGATCCATAATCGTTTTAATTTTATAGAAAGAGTATTGCTACTAAACTCGGGTTCAATCATTTTGAATATTCATATTCTTCTGTACTAATATAACGGCTCTCAGCAAGCTTTTATTGAGACGACCTACCTCGAGATATTTACCATTTATCGAAACTAGATGGAATTTACGCGCTTCGCATCATAAGCATGTCGTATCACAAAGTGAAAAACTTATTAACTAACATAAAAAGCAAACAACAAAACACAATCAAATATTGATATCATACTCTGAAAATAGGTGAACAATAGGACACAATAAAATGCTTACATCACAACTCAAAAAATAAGATAAAATATATCTAAAAATTTTGCAAGAAATACATGACACTAATTAAAAAGTAATGATTAGGCAGTCACTTCTAATGAGATCGAGATGAAGCGAGGTCGCTGAGTATAGAAGATAAAAACTTAAAAGAAAGAAAAGATAAATGTGACAAATTTTTTATTATTGGGAATTATATACTAATAACAAATTCAAGAATCAAAACTTTTAGTATTCTTTTTGAGTTATGAAATAGTATTTCAAACTATCATTAATAAAGTCTTAACATTCAAAAAAGAAGAAAAAACAATGAGAATTTAAAGAGGTAAAATTAATTGAAATGTTTTGTTGACCAATGAAATTCACCAAATGAATATTAATTTGTTGATAATTATTAATTAAAAATAAAGGTAAAAATCATTAAAAAAAGAAAATCAAAGGTTGGAGATTAAAAGGTTACCAATCATAACATTTACAACTTTTCATTTTCTTGGACAAAAAGTAAACCAAAAAAAAAAGAAGCTATAAGGCTTAAAGAGATTTCAGGGCCTATTAAATTCACCTAATAATGAATATTAATTTATTTATAATCTTTAAAATAAATATTAAAGGAGAATTTTTCTTTTAAAAAAAAATTCACCCCAATAGACCTCACTTAAATGTGGGTAAAAACCCACCCTTACAATCTCTGGTGGGAATTGAACCCTGGTCTATCAGGAGGAAAGACAACAACCTAACCATTAGAATGTCATTCAATTTCCATATTAGAGGAGAAATTATTAATGAAAGGAGATTAAAAGTCCGAATACTAAAGGATTATTTTTCAACAATGACTTTAAGAAATAGTTGACAAAATAAAATTTTATAAAAAAGATGTTAAAAGAAAAGAATTTAAGTATTTTCTTGCTCCATCTTTCTTGCTCCTTTTTTTAGATTAAATTCATGATAATTCCCATCCAATTGATAAATTATTAATGAAGGGTAGTCATAGATAAATTACTTGAAGAAATAGTTAATACTTGAAGGATTATCAAATTTTAACAACATTGACAATTATAATATAATATGAATATGATAATATGAAGATCAATCGCTCATTATTATGTTATATAGTAATAAAATATAATAATGGCAAAAAGGAAATCAACGTAGTTCCAAATATGCTGCTGGCAATTTTAGCTCATTTGCAAATGAAACTTTTGTCCAAAAATTTGCACATTAAACTTTCTCAAGTGATCATTTCCTTTCTTCTCTTTTTTAATAAGTTCTACAGGAGGACAGAATTGACAATTAAAGTAGTTTCATGTCACAATAATTTTGTGAAATGCCATGCCTAAATTCAATAGAGATTTCATTTCTCAATCACAAGAAAAAATTGTGATTGAAGAGCAGATGACAATTATAAATTCAAATTTTGTTAGACCCACAAGTTTCAAGTTTCTGTGACCACTGTGGATCTGTTTATTTTTATTTTTATTTTTTTTATTGAATGCTTTTTCACATATTCAAAATCTCTTTTCTAAGACACAGTTAGAGTGTATTATTTGTCCCACATCGTCACCGTGAAGAGAAATGACTCTGTATATAAGTATCAAAGACCATCACACTCATTGTCAATTAGTTTTGAGATGAAAATCCAAGGTATTTATATATTTTGACATGGTATCAGAGCAGTTTGGGCCTATGGAGGAGTTATGGGCCAGAGGTGGTCTGTGGTAGTTTTACCTTAATCCACTTGAGCATTGACTGATGGGCTTATTGTGGATCGAGCCAACGGTATAACTGGTTTTCTCCCACCAGAGCGTTGACTTGTGGGTTTGTTGTGAATCGATCCAGTATAACTGATTTTCTCCCACTAGAGCGTTGATAAGTTTAAAGACACTTCCTGCGAATCTGTGATGTAAATGAGTAGCAAAAAGTTCAAAGACACTACCTGTGAATTTGTGATGTAAATGATTAATGACCATAACTCGATGAAGTGAACATATCAAAATTGAACTTATTATGTGCGTGTGTGATTACTGGCAGATCCAGGGCAGGGGCCGGGAGCCATGGCCCCCCGGCCTGCCCTGGACCTATATATGCATTTTTTTTTTGTTTTATTTTTCTTCTTTCCTTGCGGTAAAGCTTAACTGTTACTATGTTTTTGTTTCTAACAATGAGTGAGGTATAATCTCTCTTATTTTGATAATAAAAATTTATATAATTGTATTTATCATGTTTGTAAATTTTTATTTGATTCCTTGATTTAACATTATAATTCTATACAATATGTCTATAAATTTTAAGGTTTTGAGTATTTTAAATATAAATTTGCTTTGGGTATTTCCATACTGATGGAAATAATTGCAGGAGGAAGACAATAAAAATAATTTTTCGGAATAGTTTTAAAATATTATAAAATGATGAAGACACTTCATGAGCATATCTAAATTTTTTAATAATATTATTATTAGGAGGCTAAGGGTTTTGATTTTCCCTAAGATCATCTAAATTTTATTTTTTTAAGAAAAACAATTCTCATAACGTTTAGTTTTTTTTTTTGTTTTGTTTTAAATGATATTGAGTTAAGATGTTGCCATAACTAGCATTCTTTCTCTCCCAAGATAATCATTATATGAGAAAATTATTACAATATTGAGAAAGTTTTTTTTTTTTTTTTTTACTTTGACATTTTTATATTATTATGTTTGGCCCCATGTGCATTTTTATCTTAGATCCGCAACTGGTGCGATTGTGTTCAATATCGAGTCCTTCACTAATGAAATCCTTTATGATGTCGAAGTGAGTACAAAACATAAGCTAAAATTAAATACGAATACAAATTGAGTTCTCCATTTGATTTGAGCATCTGGGCAATTAAACTCGACTTTCATTTTATTTTATTAATATTACTTAAAAACCACTGTACTTCAGTTATGTGGCCGGAACATGACACGGCTCAGACAAGAAACGGGAATGTGACATCTGATATATGGTCACAAGAAGATCTTTTAACCACTTATGCATATCCCATTTTGAAACGATCAACCAAAAGTAAATTGTTTGTAAGTAGGCTAGTTTCAGTTAACTGTTACGGAAATAGGAAATCCAAATAGCCGGCAGTCGAAAATTTATTCTCCTTTGTTAACAGTACAAATTTAAAATGTCCAAATGAACAAATAATATATAGTTTTGTGATCCTCTAACTAGTCATGTACTTCAAGATTGCTACGACTTAACAACAACGACAGTGTATCAAGTACTGCTAATTAATTATTTAAGGTGGGTAATTTTGACCATCACTGCTTAAGCTTTGCCTTTCCTTACCAACACTAACCCTCGGCCTAATGTTCTTCTGCCGTCTAATACTATTTGCCTAACATTTTTGGTCACTAATACGAAAATCAGATGTCTATATCAAATTACGTAGTATATATTCCATCCATCATAAACTAAAAGTTTCGTTTATTAGTATGTTATTTTAACCAAACAAAACATTAATTCAATTCACATTTCCCGTTTTTTTTCCACCGTTTTTAAATTTGTTGTTTGACCGACAATTGACCGCATCACGAGCTAACATAATTACATAATGAGCCAAAATCTGCATGGCTCGGTCTCGTAATGTTGATTATTCCCTCAAAACTAGTATAAATACACCAACAAAATTGAGAATTTACTACCACAGAAAGTCAGCCAACTTCACTTCAATGGCTAAACATAATCTTCATCGTCTATTAATTGCTCTTCTCCATCTTTCTATTTTCCTGAGTCTTAATTCATCCTCTTCATCGGGCGCCATTATCGGCGGCGTCCTGAATTCGCCGTCCTTTGCTACTTCGCAAACAAAAAGTCAGTGGGAAAGGGCCAACAATGCTGCATACGAATCATTATCCAGGGCGCAAAGCATCAATTCTTTCCAAACAGCAATTTCTACTCACATTTCATCCTACACAATCTCTCTCGATTTCGGTACGCCGCCGCAACCGATTACGTTCTTGCTGGACTTAGGAACCAGCCAAACATGGTTCCCCTGCACGAACGACTACAATTGCTCCGGCTGTCATTTGGAAAGCAAAAATCCCGCATTTATTACAACTTTCATTCCCACACAGTCAACTTCTGCCAAGGACTTGGACTGCAAAAACCAACTCTGCCAACAGTTCCACGAAGACGACTCTGATTTCGCTTGCGACAATGATTCCCAAGTTTGTCCATATCAATTTCATTACGTAACTGGATCAACTTCCGGTTTCTTTTTGTCGGAGACCCTTCACTTTGATGAAATAAACATACCGAATGTAATCGTTGGCTGCTCAATTGAATCATCCGGTGTATCCACCGGAATTGGATACGTGGCATTTGGGCGAGAACCCACTTCATTGCCGTCTCAGTTGGGGGTCAAGATGTTTTCGTATTGCCTGGTGGCTCACAAATTCAGTGATACACCGAAAACTAGTCCATTCACGTTGGTTTTGGAAGGCGTTGGAGTCAATAACAGCAACTCCGATTCCGGAATTTCCTACACTCCGTTTGTGGATTCCCCTGCTCGATTCCCAACCTTCTATTACGTTACCGTTACAAAAATCACGGTCGGAGACGTCGACGTTCAAGTCCCGAGTCAGTATCTCGTGCCGGGGCCTGACGGCAACGGAGGGACGGTAATTGAGCCCGGAACTACTTTCACGGTGATGGACGCGGAAGTGCATCAATTGGTGTTGACAGAGTATGAAAAACAAATGGGACAGTATTATCGTAGAGTGGGTGATCTTGATTTGGGGAATCAGGTGAATTTCACGTGCTACAACTTTTCCGGGCAGAATCCGGGGAATTTTCCGGCGTTGAGTTTCTACTTTGAAGGGGGTGGTAAAATGGAATTTCCGATGACGGATAATTTTGAGCCGTATTCGGACGTGGTTTGTTTGACTCTGCTTTCTGCTAAAGCACTGGGAGTTCAATCCGGGCCATCTATAACTCTGGGAAATTACCAGCAGCAGAATATTTACATGGAATTTGATTTGGAAAACCAGAGGCTTGGATTTAAGGAACAAATTTGCTGAATCTAGTGACGATGGCATGCATGAATGAATGAATTAGGCCTTCTGATGATACTAGAAGGCAATGTCAAAGTGCCACGTAATACTGTTGTTCTTGTTTTTTCTTTTTTCCATTTCGTTTTAAAGAAGTTTTTTTTTTTAATAATTTTGAAATAGTCATTTTAGATCTTTACGTTTCTTAACATTCGCAGTTTCTCACATATATAGAGATCATGGTTATGCATCGCCAATTATAAATTGAGAGTCTAACTGAGCATGTTTTAGTTATTTATATCAAATTATAACAATTTTTTAATGATAAAATTGGACAACAACATCTATGGAACTTGTATACTTTTATATAATTAGCTAGAAGAAGAATAATGATAATAAAGGTGATTTTATGATATATTTCTTAGTTTCACAAAAAAAAAAAAAACCACATTACAAAATGTTCAAAAAAAAAAAAAAGGTTTTTTGGCCGACAATGTTTTTAGGAACACAAAATACTTTGATTAGTTAGTTTTCAGGAAAACATTGCGCTCTAAAGTAGTGAGGAATCATATTAGCATCCACAAGTTACAAACATAGATCTTTTTCTCAATTGATATATCGTGCGAATTTGGAAGTTATTAATTCCATCAAACCCAAAAGGAAAAGAAGGAAAAGAACCTTTTCTTGTATTCGGAATTGGAGAAAATCTCCACCCTATATCTATCTATACACATCAACAATCAGGAGGAAATCACTCAGCAAAGTTCTCTCTCTGTCAGAATGGATTTTTTTTTTTTTTTCCCGCGATTCTACAAGGATAGTGGGCGGACTTGCCAGAAGGTATTATTCATCAAATAATTTCTCATCTCACAAATAAAGAAGCAATTCAAGCAAGTGTTCTATCAAAGCAGTTAGTTAGTAAGCGCAGTAAGGACGCGTCCCACTTTGGTTTTCGATACTAATCTATTACGACGACCCGAGAAGCCAAGTGATAAAAAAGATGTCAAAAGAAAGAAGGCGAAAAGATGCAAAGAAGAAGTTGAATATTTATTATTCACCTTGGTTAGATACCACAAGGAGAACATTGGGCTAGAGACATTGACATTGAGGACACATCCGTTCGAGTTCGAACCACATGCGGAAACTTATAATCAATGCACGGAATTATCGGCAAAAATTGGTTTCATAAATCTTTATATGTTTGTTTCGTTTTTTCAGTGTATATTTTTAAGTGTTATTTGTATTTAAAATATAAAAAGATATATTGAAAATATAAAAAGATATACTGGGATGGACAATTATTATTTTATTAATTAAAAAAACCATTAAAAAAAAATTAAACAAACAAACTGTTTTGTGGTTTCCAGCAGCAAGAGATCAGGGTATGGTGGCCTAACCTAACCTCAAAAGGCTATCTCTAGAGTACACATCTTTCGATCAGGGACATTCGAGAATATAATCAAGGGTTACAAACTATGGATATTATTAAATATTGTTGTCGTGAATCGGAATTGCGCAATTTCAGTTTCAAGATTACAGGTTCCCGCAACCTTAAGCAACTGAATGCTCATTTACTCTGCGGGCAAGGTGTTGAAATAAATGAAACGCCAGATTTGGAATCTGTAGTTTGTAGTGTACAGGCAACAACTACTTGCGAGGTAATGCTGCTTGTTGTTGGCTCAATTTTCGTGAAGCTGAATATCGAAATCTGCAAAGTTTGCTCCTAAATGACAGTGTGGGGATCGACGGTACCTTTTTTGTTGACTGGAAATGTAAATTTCCTCATCTGGAACATTTAGTAATCCGAAATTGCCAAAACATTCAAAGAATCAGTATATCGAGTTCATCGCTGAAGAAATTGCAGATCCAACATTGCTGGAACTTCCAAAGAATCAGTGTATCGAGTTCGCCACTCAAGGAAATACAGCTCACAAATATCAGCACCTTGCAAGAGGCTCACTTCCATACACCTAGCATTGCCCTTTTCGAAGACGACAACTTTGGTTTCCGGAAAAGTGAGGTCACACCCAAGTTATCATTCTCAGGTGTCTCGGATGGATGGACGTCTCGGATCAAATTAGAATGTGACAGTCATCTGAATACTTTATGGCTGATTGGATTGAGGCTCTGTTTAGTTAGATTAAATTGCAATTGAATTGGAATTACAATACTATTGAATTGAAAAAGAGATATTAATATTGTAATTCAATTTCAATTTCTTAGTTTGAGAAATCTTGAAAATTTACTAGAATTAAGGTTTTAATTCCAATTCTTGCGTTTGGATGCATAAAAAATTGGATACTTTAGAATTGAAATTAGTTTGTTATTGTATAACTAATAATTAGATGCTTGGCCCGGACAGATGCCCGGGCGCCCCCTCTAAATTGCTATTTTATTAAAATCTAATTGAATTACTATTTTTTGAGGAATTAATTTGGCGTATATATCATTTATGCTATGGTTTGGGGCTTAAAAAAATATACCTATAAATCTGAGATTATAACGGAATAATAAATAATTGGTTTATAAGGCATTATTCTTAATTGCTGGATTTAGGTATTTTTATTTTTTGTTTATATTAAGCCTGCAAAACTATACGATTGGACATTTGAATTTGAATTAATATATCCATTCGTTTGAAATATAACTGATCCTTATTTGTAGTAAAACATGTGTTTTTTTTTAAAAAAAAATTATATAACTTCTAATTAAAAGAGACTTACACGTGGCAAAAAGACTTCTGAAATCTGAAATATGGTGTATTGGAGCCAAAACAGATGCATACGTAGTTGCCACATAAACTTCATGTCTTCTGCTTTAATAGGGTAAAAGGGATAGTACAATTTATACTTCTTGTAAAAAATAAAATTAAAAAAAAGCCTTAATTTATTATGGATATGTATAACACAAAAAGATAAGTAAATTCGTTGTGTACATGTACATTTGACTACTTTTTGGTTTTTTAACTAATATAATTTTTACTTTTTTTGTTAAAACAAATTATTATTTTTTAATTAATTTGCTATATCAGTTTTGTAATTTATTATGTACACATTTTTGTTAGAAACAAAAGAAATATTGTGACTTAGAATTCTCGCTTAATACACAAATAAGTAAAATGTGAAACATCCTTGGTTTCATCTCTTATTATTTTTCAAAATTTTTAATTTTTGATGTTTTGATTTATATAAAAAATTTAAAAAAGTTTATTATATAACATTGTAAATTTAGTTTATGAATATTAAGGTTTATTTATACATAGATTAAAATTAGTATATAATATATGCTTAAATTTTTTTATTTTTAGTATATAATTATATATGAAATAATACATACTTAAAACTCAACTTACATAATTTTTGGAGAAAAGATACCATGAATAGTTTAAAATATATATATATGTATGTATATATATATATATATTATACTATAGGTGCATATATGGAACAAATTTCTATAAAAAAAATGTGAAAATGTTATATTGTTTACTATGTTATAATATAATAAAAATTTTAACCCAAAACTAAAATATTTAGTTAATAAATTTTTTTTGGGTACATTTATACTTTTGATTTTTTTTGTAAAAAAAATACAATGTTAAGTTTAGTTTGATTTCGTTCGTAATTATTAATTGATATATATGAAATAATAATAATAATAATAATAATAATAATAATAATAATAATATTAATAATAATAATAATAATGAGAGAAAAAGACCAAAAAAAAAGAAAACCAAAGAAAAGAAGGAAGCGGCGAAGCGATGAAAGCCCCGAAAAAAAAATTTAAAATAAAAAAAATTAAAAAAAAAGGCAAAAGGCAAAAATTGAGAAGGCGACCCGTTTAGGTTATAACCTGGAAATGACCCGATTGTGACCCGCGTCCCTTTTTTAAGTCCCTTGAATTTGAATTCCAATTATTTGCTCCCAAAAAAAATTAAAAATAAAGAATTGAACCCCATCTTGAATTATAATTGTAATTCTTGGACCTCTATTTTTAGCAACCAAACACATACTGAAAGAATTCTTGACAGCATTCAAAGGGTCTGAAATTTCTGTAACCGTTTACTATGGAAAGGACGTGAGTCCCGAGATGATCAATAATTCTGTAACATCATCATTTCATGGAGGTCTCCAACGATTCGGGAATATTTTTTGTTTTTTTGCAGAACCCAATGGAGCAGTTTTCTTTGTCATCTGCGCGTGCAATTGTGCAGGTCATTTTTTCGATTTGCCGCCCTCAGGCCATCACATTCCAATACTGGGACTCCGAATTCCCTAAACTATTTCATGAGCTCCTGATATAGAAAAGTCACTCTGTGCTTGGCAGTTCAAATCTTCTCCAGCTTGCTAACTATTGGAATGTGACAGATGTTGAGATCTTCAGACATACTCTGATTAATGATATTCTTTTTTACTACTCCAAGAAAGGCCAAGGTTTGCGGTTGTCTGGACCATCAAATTGTAATGAATTTCTGGAGCATTTAAGAGCATATCATGAGCAAAATCAGATGATCAACAAGGTGATTATTAGCTTCAACTTGGAATGGAGAATTTTTGAGATGGAGACACGGCCCCACGAGGAAGTAAAAAGATTGAAATGTTCACCACATATTTAGTTGTGCTCAGATAAATGAGAAATATGGGGGAGGGGGAAGACGGAGTTGGTGGTTGGGTTGGTTGATAAGCTTAGCAATGAATGCCAAACGATGGAAATCATTTGGTATTGATTTCATTAGTCCTTTTTTTTTCGGTCAACTTCATTAGTCGTATTTTACTTTGTGATTGTAGAAGATAAACAAGACGATTCGGTTCTGGCTTTTCTTACTAATAAGAAGAATTGAAGAAGCTTGAGAGGGCTAATAGTTATGTGTACAGAATCCGTGAGCTATAATTAATTATGATCATATTAGCATCTCCTTTTCTTTTCTTTTCTTTTTTTTTTTTCTCGTTTTACTGGATTTATAAAACAATTTGTTTGATTCGCTTATCTTTTGTTTTATTTATTTATTAGTGAAATTGAGGCCTTCCAAAACCTTGAAGGGGAAATTGAGTTTGTGGGCAATATAATGCGGAAAGGCGGACGGGAAACTATATTTAGGAAAAAGTAATGATTAGTGCAGGGAAAAAATGACAAAGAAAATTGACAAGAAATTCATCATAGTCGGTCATTCTTTTAACTTTTCATATGGGTTTAAGTATTTAATGTTAGGGCATAATTTTGATGAATTGTCATCATTTCTTGTAAGTTTTTCTCGTAATTTTTCTCTGTACTTATCACTACTCTTTAAGAAATTATTCAGCAGGAGTAGCTATCGGAAAAAGTAATTCGTCACCGGGCCATTTCTGTAGCTCCCAATTCGGAAATCAGCTTGTTTCGGGAACTTCTGTTTGTTTGAAAGTTATTTTCCAGGTAACTGTAATGACGGGATTATATAAGGTGGCGGCAGTCGAACTTTTATTCTCGTTGATTAGAACGACAAACTTAAATGGTCCAAAATGAACAATTCAAAATATTCCATGATTCTCTTAAGCAATCCCAATCAAACCAGCTCCCTATGATAACAAATTTAAAACATAAGACGTGAGAATCAAATAGTATATTATGTTGAGATCAAATGAAGAATCAGAATTATAAGAACAAAAATCATATTATTCACCGTGACATCATTTTTGTTGTAACACCCTTTCGTATATTGTAGAATCGAATAAAATAGACGTATAAAAAAACCATTTGGAAACTTTTTTCGAAGTTCCCAAATAAAATTGGAAATTCTCTCTTTTTTTCTTCTTTTTTTTTCTTTCTAACTTGATGGTTCTTCATAAGAAATATTTTGCCTAAAAATATTAATGGATACATATTGAAGAAAAGCGTAACAAAAGCAATTTATTTTGTTGATTGTACCTTCTTACTAAAACCTAAAAGTTAGTCAACATTGTATTCGTCTGACGTAGGATAATTTGTTTGTATTCGTTGATGTTAGACGGTAGTGCATTAGGCAAGTTATAGTTTAAGTGATTAAATTCATGTTATTATTAGTCGGCTAATCCGAATTGAAAGTCGGGCTAAGTACGAATTATATTGCCGGTAGTTGAATTCAGAGTCTCCTTCGTCGATAATACAAATATAATGGTCCAAAACAACAAGTTATATCATGCGATTTTCTCATTCCAAGGAGTCTTCATTTCAAATTTGTTCTTCTACCACACAACAATCCGATCTAATAATCCAAAAAACTGCATGGCGCAGTCTCGTGGTAATCATTATTGACCCATATAGCAGAGATTAGTAGTATTTATGTACCAGCAAGATTCACAAAAAAATAACACACAACCCACTGCCACAGCCTAACTTCAAATTCAATTGTCAATGGCAAAACTCAAACTTCCTTCTGCCTTCATCACTCTGTTCCATCTATCTAACTCTTTCATCGCCTTCATTTGCCTACATAATCAGCAGCCACCTGAATCCACCATCATTTGCTAATTCACCAGCGAGAAATCCATGGGAAAGGGTCAACCACGCTGCGTACCAATCACTCACCAGAGCACATAATATCAAAGTTTACGAAACAGGCCTTTTTCCTCATTCCTCAAGTTACACATTCTCCCTCGAATTCGGAACACCGCCACAAACAATGACATCAATGTTGGATACGGGAAGCAGCGTAACATGGTTCCCCTACAGTAATCACTACAATTGCTCTGATTGTGGCAATAATGATGATGACCGTAATTCTACAAATTTCATTCCAGAACACTCCACTTCTGCCCGTGTATTGGAGTGTACAAGCCCAGAGTGTCAGGAATTCCATGTAAACAATCTATTTTGCAATGATTGCCATGAAAGCTCCAAGCCGAGTAATTGTACCCAACTATGTCCATATAACATAGGATATGGAATTGGATCGACCTCTGGTTTTTTCTTGTCAGAGACCCTTCACTTCTCTGACGCAATCCAAGTCAAGGATTTCGTCGTCGGCTGCTCCACCAAAGCATCCCAAATGTCCGTTGGGATAGCGGGATTCTCTGTTATCCGGATTCTTCTATTTGCGGAGAATACCCGTGTCAATGTCGTGGCGACATTGGTATGGGTATGAGTGTCCGGTGTGACATTTTAGCTTAAAATGTCCAAAATTTCTAAAATATTGACGAGTCAGACACTCAGATCCCCGCACCCGATACGACGCCCGTATCCGAATCCAGGTAACATAGGCGGGATTTGGCCGGAAACGAATTGCAATGCCGGCCTAATTGGGGGATAAGATGTTTTCGTATTGCTTAGTGTCTCATAAATTCGATGACACTTCCAAGACTAGGCAGCTCATCATGGTTAGGGAAGGCGGCGACGGCGGTGGCTATCGGAGTAACGATTCCCAGTCTGGGATTGTCTATACTCCGTTCACGAGATTTCAAACTGTAGAAAGCTATTATTATGTTACAGTAACAAAAATCACGGTAGGTTTGGTCGACATTAAAGTCCCGAATCGGTATCTTGTGCCAGGGCCGGATGGCAACGGAGGGACGATCGTTGATTCCGGCACTACTTTCACGGTGATGGACGACGAGATTTTTCAACTGGTGTTGGCAGAGTATGAAAATCAAATGGGACAGTATTATCCTAGAGCTGATGATCTTAATATAGACAACCAGGCGAATTTGACGTGTTACAACGTATCCGGGTCAAATCCGGGGGATTATACGGAGCTGAACTTCTATTTTGAGGGTGGAGCGAAAATGGCAGTTTCCATATCGGAGAGTTTTGATCCGAACCCGGATGTGGTTTGTTTGACGCTACTGTCAGCGCTGATACTCGGAGATGATCAATCCGGACCGTCCATCATTCTGGGCAATTTTCAGCAACAAGATATTTACTTCGAGTATGACCTAGAAAACCAGAGGCTTGGATTTCGAAAGCAAATTTGCTAGTCACTTGTATTCGATTTTGGAGTCACAATGCTATTTCTGAATCTGTATTTTGTGAAAGACTCTTTTTGTTTTTATTTTTATGAAAGATTTGGAAAGACTTGAAAATTGAAAGATAAAACCAATCGTAGTGGTGTTTTAATCTGTTCCAAAAAAGGTTAGGAATCAATAAATAGCTTTCCTTTTTCTTTTGGTGCAAGTAAGGAGGACCGATTTCCTTTTGTTTTTAACACTACTTAACTATCTTCTTTGTCTATAAATATAGAAGATCCCTCGCACAAAACATCCATTGACAGGGGAGAAAAAAAAAACCCATCCTGTTTATTTCAAGAGAGTGAATTAATCAATGGAAGGAGATCAAGATTTGTGGAAGGACTTTAAGCCGGAAACACTGAAGTGGGGAAAAAGAATAGCTTCCGGTGGTTATGGAGATGTGTTTGCAGGTGCTTACGACGGGAAAAAAGTGGCAATCAAAGTAATGATGGGTTCGGCTTTTGAGGAGGCGTTCCAGCGAGAAGTGTCGACATGGATTCAGCTTGGTGATCATCCAAACGTCGCAGTGTTTATTGGGGCAACGAAAGACATCAAACCCCCGAAGCAGCCTAAAAATTGTTATTGCATTGTGAGTGAATTTCTCCCGGGTGGTACCTTGGCCGCGTATATCACAAAACACAAGAAGATGGCCTTGCCCCGCAAACTCCAATTAGCCCTGGATGCTGCCAGAGGGGTGTCTCATCTGCACTCCAAGAACATCCTTCATCGAGACGTAAAGCTCGAGAATCTGTTACTCGACGGTGAAGGCAGGGTGAAGATTCTTGATTTCGGGATTTCAAGAATTGAAGATGTTGACATGAGCGTTAATGTCGGGAGCAGAGGATACAAAGCTCCAGAGGTCATGTTTCATGGGTCGTATGATTGCAGGTGTGATGTCTTCAGCTTTGGGATTTGCCTCTGGGAGATATACTACCAGAAGAGAGCCCAACTCAATCTGAGTACTACCCCACGAATCGGCGATGATTGCCCGGAAGATCTTGCTAATTTGATGAGGCGGTGCTGGAGGGATTGTAAAGAAAGACCCAAGATGGCAGAAGTCGCCAAGGATTTAGAAGACATGTTAAGCAAAACAGAGGACGACATGGGGTCCCAAACAAATAATCAAGTTGGTGGTTGTTGTTTCGGCTTCCTGATCAGACGATGATAAGAAGAACCTCTGAAAGATTAATGAGTTTGGTCCCAAATCAGCCTTAGTTTCATTGATGAGGATTTGCAGTGTTATGGAAGAAATTCTTTTTCTCCCTCGAATTGTAATTTTTTCATGTATCAAATCGTAAAGAAACGAATTTAATTCAACAAAAAGATTTGTTTTCCCCCTTTTTCTTAACGTAGTCTGTTTATTACCATATCATGATTCCCTTTGCCGAATTTGTACGTATCCAAAATTTTAAATCAAGGTCATTCACAAATCAAGTTGGATGTTCCGGATTAGAATCCAGCCACTAGAGTTTAGATCTTCGCTAACTTCTGAATTCTGATTGCCAATTTCCACTACAGTATCTTGGTTATTCCGAAATCCGTTAATATCTTGATCAAGAAAGCAAAGTAGGGTCGTTTTTCATGGCGACTTTAGTGCGCTGTTTGAGTTCTGTTCGAAATTGGGTTTAATAAGCGCACTGAGCTGCTTTTGATCGTTGCCGGGTTCTGTTTCTACCAATTTTCCAATTGGGTCATCTCTCGTGATCCTCTCTTTGTGAATACTTGCGTTTCCTTGCTCCATTCCTCCGTTACCTCTGCAACAGGTCCCTTCTCATCACCCTGCTTTTGTTTTGATATTTGTTTTAGGAAAATTCATAATTTGTGCTACCTTTTTCCCCTGGAATAGTTTTTGCATCATGTTGGTGTACAATGTTAAGTTTAGGTCCTCCTCATAACTTTGCTTACATGTGATCTGTATGCATTATCATATTAGATTTTGAGATGATAACTGCAACGTGTTAACTGCTATTTGCCAATAATTATTTATTTTCAATACATACTGATGATTAAGCGCCTTAAGTCAGGAGTTAATTGATCAGGTATCCGGAGATACTTTTTGGTTGTAGAATGTAAATTTGGGTTTTTTCATTTATAATAAAATTGGATATTTCAAAATGGAAACAGAGAATTTGATCATGTGTGGTTTCAGTAACGTATTACTCCCTCCGTCCCATAATTATTGTCCACTTTACCCAAAAAATTTTGTCCCAAAATTATTGTCCAATTTGACTTTTTATGGATCAAGTTACACATTTGTCCTTAGTAAAAAATATTATCCATAAAATCTTAGTGGTTAAACAATTACTTATGTAGGGGTATATCCGGTTGTTTAAGGTAAAATATAGTTAAGTTTGACCAAAAATAAAATTTTTCATTTTAGTAAAACTGGATAATAATTATGGGACGGAGGGAGTATTTACTTTGAAACTCATGCAATAATATTTCCTCATGGAAATCGTTTTGAAGATCTCCTGTGTAGTTTCGCGTCAACTTTCCTGAAGATGTACCTTTCCAAGATTAAAAAAGAACCAAATCTAGAGCCTTACGATATTAAAATAACATTAACACTGGATTTTCAACTGAAGAACAAATGAATTCTTTTACTCTTTTTACCCGTTCAGCTTTGGGTCCAGAGAAGATACACTGATTGGTCATAAAGATGTCCTTTTGCTCAGGAGTCGGGACAACCTAAAAGGCATCTGCCTACGCCTGCTTGGATAAGCGTTATGATTATGATATGGTTACCATGTACCATGCTAGTATCCGTTTTATTACCCAAAAGAAAAAAAAAACTTTAAATACTTTGACCAGTTATCCCACTCATCGAGGTACCTACGATTCAGCGAGAGGGATTAATTATTGTTGCAGACGGTGCACATCCAGCACATCTGAAAAAAAAAAAAAAAGAAGAAGAAGAAAGATAGAACCATTTTGCTTAACCACTCGTAAGTAAGAGTTTAGTTTTACAAAAAGATGAAAGATTTGCATGCCAAAGCCGAAAAGTGTGAGGCGAAATTAGGCCCGGCATTTATTAGGCCTAACTGATGGACAGAGTCTCAGTCTACTCAGATTACAAACTGTGCGACTTTTGCTAAATTATCCTTCATTATCTTAGTTGACTGTGAGACTGCCTCCAAAGTATACTTAAATCACAGTAGACATCTCTCAAGTTTCCCAATGTTACAAACAACAAACATACATATTTGAGATAACAGAAAAGGTTTCGGGAACCTTATAGCGGTTCGATAAAAATTCGAATCAATGTAAAAATTTTTATTTTTTTAATAAAAAAGTTATGTTTTGTAAAAATTGTCGTTTTCGTCAACGAAAGCCAAGATGTTCTTTTCCCCTACAGCTTTCACAATTTTTGTTGTTGGACTGAAATAACCCACAAAAGGTTGGGCTACGAAAGCCCATTTCTCTAAAATTATACTAACAGTAGTATTATTCTATTATCTTTTAAATCGTAAAGACACAGCTGTTGCATAATAATCCCCCCTTGAAAAAGAAGCAAAGCTTTTATTTTTGCAATCCAAAGCATATGAATATTTAGCACCGAACTCCAACGAACAATCATCAGATCAGTCCAATCCTCCATTGCTGTCGTAATCATCCATGCCGAAATGTGTAAAACTTCCCGCGAATTCAACCAACTCTGGAGTTGACGGTTAGTTGAGAATTCCCAAAATTCATACCTACAAAGACGAATTTCGCCGCTACCTCCACCGAACCGCCGAACAATACACACAGCCACACCGTTCGTTTTTCCCTCTCATTTTAACCTTCTAGATAGTTTTTGAAGCTTCTTCGGGAGATCCTTAATCGTTAGTTTATCACCATGTGGCGTTTCCTTGGGCGATCGCCGGATCGATTCTCCGTTCCTCACTTCAGGTGAGTCCGCCATCACACGATTACTTCTCCAATTTCGAGCGAATTTGAATTACAACTGTTTCGGAGCTAGTTGCTTGATTAAAATCCGTAGAAAGATATCTTATATGGTTGAAATGCCGTAATGCTGGTGCAGTGTCTCCTCTTAATGTATAAAGCTTTTGATATCTTTGCGATTCTGTGTTGTTTAGTTCTTTTTACTGTTATTAATCAGCTCGGAGAAAAAGTGGAACCATTTTGCTTGCATATGTATCTGCTTCCGGAAATCTCAGTCTAATTAGGCCTACCTTTTTCATGAAGATTCCTAGCGAATGAGCTGCGGAGGATCAATTATGTGGACTTCCAAAATAGGGTACTTGACTGTTTGCAAGTTTTTTATTTATCGATTTCATGAGACATTTAGTTTCGTGTACATCAGTACTTTATCCTTTGTCCACTTCTCTATCCTCAGGAAGTCGTTGTAGATTTGATGCAGTCGATTGTGGAGATTGCAACCTACGGGGATAAGCATGATCCAGCAATTTTTGAGTATGATAACAGCAGCATTTTCTTGTGATCCTGGATTCTCTAGCACACAAAACTTTTCTGTGACTCATGTGGCTTGGATGTAGATGTTTCATGGAATCACAAATTTTACCTGAGTTTGTTCGGATATTAAAGATTCGTGGGAGTTCAAGCATCGAGGCACCATTACTTCAGTATATGAGCATAATGATACAGAACATCGAGAATGAGCACGCGATATGTAAGCCTGTGGTCATTGCAGAACCACATGAAACATAATGTTCTTGTCCTCCTCAAACCTTGGTTTTGTGGATTGATAATTAGGAAAAATATTGCGTGCTCCTTTTCCAGTTATTTAGGCTGCTTTCCTCATTTCCCAAAACCTTCTTTTACCTCTTCTGGATATGTTCTTTTTACAACTCCATTGATACCTTCATAAATGTGGACTCTTCAGGCTACTTTTTGAGCAACGGCTACATCAACAGCATCATAGTACATGAGTTTGACTTTGAAGGGGGAGATATTGTTCCTTATTATGTATCCTTCCTGAGGTTTTGTGCCCTAATTTCTTTGTCCTCTATTATGGCATATCAGTTATTCATGTGGATGTTATTTAGAATACTTTAATCTTGTTTTTTATTGCAATTTGGATCAGAGCAGTGGGTGGAAAATTAGATGGAGCCACAGTCTGTCTTCTTGTGGACGTTGACAAGGTACAAATGGATGCCCAAGTCTTAACTGATGTTAAGCATGACAATCTGTTTAAGTTAGTCACGGTTGTTTCTTTAGGTGTTTCGGACAATTATTTGTTACAGAATACACATGATAGTTGTGCTTAAATTGAACTTGGGACCAAGTTACAGATTGCTATTTGTATACTATATCAATAGGGTGATCATTCATGCATGGGTTGTGAAATTGTCCAAGGCTAGATTGGTTTTATGCCACCTACCTTTTGCAGTTTAACAGTGGACTATGCAGAACAATTTTGTATCACGTCGTCTTCTGGCTTAACATATATTTTTATCATCTAGTTAGGAGAGAGAGTACATGTTTTGGCTGTGATTTCCTACTTCACATTGCATTATCTAGTTTGTACTAAGATAATGAATTTGTATTATGTTCCCAACCATATTGACAGGGCACAGTGGTCTCATTTCCTCTGTATGAAGCTGCTCTTAATTTTGTGCATTATGAGGAAAAGATGATTCAAATAGCAGTTCGTGCATTGATCCTTAAAATTTATAAAGGTGCCATTCAGACAATATTTCTGTTTTAATTTGGCTTGATAACAAACTTAGTGTCTCTTACCTCTGTATTAACTTCTACAGTGGCTGACGAGATGATCTTTCGGTTTATTACAAGTCCCCCAGTTGCCAATTACTTCGCTGGGTTGATTAAAAATATAGAAAATAAGTGCTTTCGGGTTGAGGCTCTAACCACTGGACTTGAGTAGGTTCTGTTTATAAGTTGGTAAACGGCATCTTGGTTTTGTAAAAACACATTCTGCATCTTCACCATGAGAAGACTGGTATCTACTATGCAGGGACAATTGCAGTGACAAGAAAAGAGAAGTTCTTCTGGAAACTGATAGAATTCTGGATGATTTTTACTATCTGAAGGACATGATAAGCATTCCTGATCACTGTTTGAACAAACTCATTGTAGAGAATCTTGTTAACCTGTTGGTCTTGCCAATGTTGCTTAGTTTATTGAACGCTAGGCAAAGCACTGTGAGGACTTTTACTCTATTCCATGATACTTTTATCATGTTTTTAAAAAGTAGATAGATTCTTTGTTTCAGCGAATTTTCCTTCTTTTCTTCTTGAAAAATCTATATTAAGCCGGAAGAATAGCTTTTAACTCTCATACTTTCGCGTTAAGCAAATTGGAACATCAGGAAGTATACATTCAAAGCTATAGATGACTTCAGATATTTTTAGCTCTCAGTATGTGTTGTGTAAATCCCATTTACTGTTGTTGCACTGGATAAGATGCAGTAAATTGTGTCATTCGGGTCATCCCTTTATTGGGGTTGAAAATGACTTCTGATTCCATATTAATTGAAGCCTGATGCTTACGGTGATGTATGGATGAATGTGTTGATACAAACTCAGAAGTAGGATTGTTGGTATGAGATAGGTACTGATTTCTTGCGCATCCTTGTTATTTTTCAGGACAGAACTTTATCCCCGATCACTTGTCTCTGTATGCTTTGCCGTCTTCTTCAAGTTCTGGAAGGGACAAATTTGGTTAATGTAATTGGCAGTGCTATACTATGCTTTTGTATGCCTAGACACATTTCTGCTGATCTTCAGCTTAAGGGTGCAGAAATAGTCAGAAATAATTTTCTCAGACATTCATCAGTTTATATAGATTTGAGGGCTGATGAATGGTTAAGCTGTTTACCCTTGGAGAATAGTGAAAATGAATGGTTAGTGGTGTTTTTCAAACACTGGTTGCTTCTTTCATTGTACTTATAAGATCTGAAATCTAACTGTAATGAAGTTTTTCGTCCTCCTCTTTCTGCTTGAGATATTGTTTTCCACATAATTAATACCAGTAGCTTTCATTTATTAGGAAGATACTGAAATGAGTTCATTACGAATTTTTCAGTCGCATCTTGGGCGATAATCACAGTACAATGGTAGCAACCTTGTTGTTATTGTTTATTGTAGCTGATAGTAAAGGTAAATTCACTTCTTGATTACTCTCTTTGCATGATTAGCTTTTCCAATTCTCTATACCTTAACTTTTTAACCTTTCTATAGACCTTGATCCTCAGTTGCGAGAAGTTATGGGATTCTCTGAAGTGAAGGTAACTCCTTTGCCCTCTCTTCGTTATCATCACAGAACCAAAACAGCATTGTTTCCACTTTATTTATGAGTTGCTTGTGAGAAAGTAAGACTATGACATCATCAAACTTTACAGCTCCATGAAGAGCTGACTGTAATTCATTTATGGCTTGCTTCTAGCGGAACAATCTTGACTTTAACTTCCTTGTTGCTTGATTAGACTCCGGCAGAGTGCAATCGAAGCATTTTTGCAAGACAAGCGCGAAAGGTTAGCCATTACCAGAGTTGCATTAATAGATTGTTCCATTTGTTCTCATTCTTGATTCACAATTCACAGTTTGTATTAAGTTTCTTAAAGAAATAATTTTGTGGCCTTGCAATTTCTACATGCATGGGATTGGTTTTTCATTCTCAAGTCATAGTTTTTGGCTGCAGCATAAAAGCTCTTTTGATTTGCAGATTGTGAATCAACTACTGAAGGTTCTAGCTAGTAATCCGCCAGGCTCAGTAGCTATGTTGTTCCAGACTGCCTGGTTTTTGCGAAAGCTGTTGGTTTTTCTAGATCAGAAGCTGGATGATCATGATTACCTCCTGTTCAAGGTTATTAACTGAGAACTTTTAATTCTTAAATTTAATAGCACTTGCCGTTAATTTTCTGCCACCATCGACACAGTTGACTTTTCCTTTGCTGCAACGTTTGCATAGCAGTAAACGTAATTTTCTGATTTCCCCCGCCTCTCCATAGTCTCAAGGTATCTTTACGCAAAATGGATACAATGTATTTTAAGTTTGTGGTATGCTGCAGTTTCATTACACTTTAAGAGAAATTATGCGAATGGTGATCAAGTTATTTTCAATGGATAAAGTATAGGGGTCATTTATGTTATGAGGTCCTTAACTTTCCACTGCCCAATAAGTGAAGGTCCTACGTTCGTCAATGGATAACTCAGCAACAACTCAATGTGAAGAAGAAAAAGTTAACTATGATGCTGGCATTCAAAAATTTTGGGGAGTGATGGAAGACGTTCGGGCAACTTTGATACTTTTCTATGTAGAATACAATAATTGCAATAAAGTTAAACCGTGTGATTTCTGTAGAGTGTTAGTGAAATTGAAGATGATCAGACAACTTGAAAGCTTAAGTTTCTCGCATTCCATTCCATAGTGGCAATAAATGAGAGTTATGTTAACACGTGGTTTATTATCTTGTCTCACAATTTATATATGTTGACAGACCTCATGGGAGCTTTCTTGTGAACGTCTTTGTGGGGAACTTAATCGGTGCTGGTTTGACTGTATCCCTGACAGATTAAAAAATGAATGGGATATCTGCACAGCAGGTATGCGCTCTTTGCATTGGAAATCATCAGCAGCCAAACGGCTTTCTTGATAGTAATAATGTCATTATCCTTCTATAATAGCATCATTGTGGGGAACTAGCTCGTTTGTCTGATGATGTTTAATTTGGTCGCACCAAATTGTTTTTGAATTTGCTGCACAACTATTCTTCTTATTCCTTTTCTTGTCTTGTCCTTTGAGGATACAGTGCTTGAAGAATCATCACATTCCAAAGATCCATTCTGTTTTCTAGAACTTGCATCTGCTGAAGTTACTCCAAGAGGTCTAACATGTCAACTTTACCCCTTAATGTTTTTATTCCTTGCTTGTTTTCTCCTCTGAGTCTTTTACAATATTATCAGGCAGTGAAGATGTTGCTTTCGATTGGCAAGAAATGGTTGATCATGTCAAGGTGTTGACGGTTACCTTTTATACTAAATATGTAGTGTAAAAAAAAAAAAGGTTAATGTATCTTTATTATTAAGTGCTCGAATTTGAAAATTTGTTTCCTGCATGTGACCTTTCAGGTGTTCATTCTCCATCTTCAGCTGAAGTCATTAATTTGTGGGTGTCCATTGGATAATCCTTTAGCAAATTGGAAAAGCAGCTCATTGGCGCAATCAGAGAAAAGATCTGCTTCAGATCTTTCATTGGCAAGCTTCGGTTCAGAGGTAGCTCTAGGTTGGTTATCTATCACGTGTTGTCGCTTGCCATTCCTCCTTATATATAAAGGTCACATATGTATTTGAGGAAATGTTTTGGTTTACAAACTCGACTAGAATGCTGGCAGGTTCAGGAGTTCCTTGTAAAATTGCTTTCTCTGGAGCTGGGCCTAGAGACATACACGTGATACCGATTTCTAGAGAAATATCGGGTAAATTGTTTCTTGTGGAACGACATCCATTGCACTCAAGAAAAGGAGTTGTAATTGCTATTGCTCCATTGGCTGGGTTGAATGTAAGTAGTATATCAACACAGTTCTAAGCTGCTTTCTCATTCTGGCGGAGCTTTAATTATTCCACTTGATTCGCAATAACAGAGCATTTAAGAAATATATCACGTGTGTGAACATTCAGTTGCTCTGAACCTGGAAGACATTACGGTCCGGTATCTAATGTGGCCTTTGCCTCTGATTCAATTACAGTGAAACATCGATACTTTAAAATACAGATTCACATAAGTTGTTTAGGAAGTGGAAATTGATTTGAATCCTTTCTCATCTTTTCGCTGGTCGATAGTTCCATTCATCATTTCTATGAATCTGAGGCTTAGAATGATAAAAGTTGCAGTTTTCTGGACAGTTAGGACTTAGAACCAATTAGATGTTTTGCACGGTTTTTATTTTATTTTATTTCTTTTGTGTGTTAATTGACTTTTGCATGTTATGTTACACAAACTCAACCTCCTTTTTTTTGCTTCACTTGTTCATTTTTTCCTCTTTCAAACAGCCAAAAATAGATGAGAATCATCCGACATGGTTGCATCTTCTGCTTAGAGAATTTCAGCCCAGATTTCATTCAACTGATCGGTACAGAAAAGTCGAATCCGGGAGTTCCATTCCCGTGGCTCAAGGTAGATGGACACTTGGATTTTCAGACGCTGATGTGTGCCAGGCTGCCTACTCAAGGATTTTAGAGGAAACTAGAAAGCAGAGATCTTTTGTGGAGAGCTTAATTACACCGCTACTTGAATTCCCTGGGAATAACTGATTTACGACACCCCCAAAAAAAAAAAAAAGAAACTAATCAGTCCCCTTTGAATATTGGAGGCTTTCAAGTCTCAACCATTTCAAAACTAGCGCAACTTTGTTCTTTAGCTTTACCTTTAGCATGCATGTTAGCTTTAGCATTTATTTCTACTCTTTTATGTTCGTCTTTGTGTGCCTCAAATTAAAATTAAACATAGTTTCAAATTGTGCTTATATTAGGATGGGAGGGAGTATTCACCCTTTTTAATCTTAAATTTGCTTTCTTCCTGGTACAGGCGAAAGTGAGGTACTGTATATTGTTCGAAAAGCATATTTAGCAGGTTTTGAACCCTTAGAACTTTTGATTACCCAAAAAAAAAAAAAAAAGAATGTAAAGGAGATTCTGGAATTTAAAGGGAAAAAGAAAACGAGCAACCTTCAAACTCACGACGGCACGACATAAGTAGCTTTCTGCATGGTCTCTGTTCAAACAACGTTGGATCGTGGTGCGTTTATCCGTTAAAAAGTACGGAACGGAATAATTCTCTGTTTCGTTCAAACATCACTTTTGAGTTTTGATCAAGTTTTGAGGAATAATTCCGACCCAAAATTATTGGTTCCCCTTTGTATATATGTCTTTTTAGGCTAAATTGATCGAAGATTGATGAAGCTTTTTTGACTGGAACTGAGATTGCAATTATCCGTTATTTATCATGAATTTAGTTCTCTGCTTGCTAGTTAATTTTGAGATGAAACATCTCACATCCATTAACAAATTAACCCCAACTTTTTAACTTCTTTTCCTTCTTTCTGTCTTTGATGGAGAGGGCAAGAATGGGTATATAATCATATGTTGTAGGCTGAAACAGAAATAATGTTTTCGAACTTGAAGACATATCCCCTCAACCATGCATGCATCATAATTGATGTTGTCAATCATCGTATTAATCCTGCGATATATGGAATGTTATGATCATCAACTTACATTGTAGGGGTCCATGAGAAAAGAAAAGAAAAAAAAAAGATGCATTCCTAAGATCAATTATTATTACTGAATTAGAATTTTTTTTTTTTTTTTTTTTGGGTGTCTACTTGTCTCTTTTCATAGGATAGTGCCAAAACATAAGGCAAAAAGATCAAAAAAGGGAAAATCGGGAATTCCTTTTTTATGTCTTTTGCTCATAAATTTTCTTGGATGTATATATTTATGGGGGTGGGTAAATTTTTTCGAGAATCATCATACATATACTTTTAGTTCAAAGAGACAAGAGAGGCAGCTAAAGTAGTGTGTTTGCCAGGGGTTCTGTGCAAATAAAAAGCCAAAGATGATTGAGGAATGAAAGGGAGATCTCTCGTTTCATGTGTACAAAGAATATAGTAGTATATGGTTTCATTTCTGTGATTTTTATTTGACCTGCCAAAGAAAAGAGAGAAGATAAGGTGGTGGTGTTGGTGGTGATGGTGGTGGTGGTGGTGGTGGTGGGCGAGTGGTTTTGCTCAAAATATTTTTGCTCTGCTTTCTATGCTAAACCTAAAGCACGCTCAGAAAAAATACTATTACACAGAGGAGGCCACTATCCCAAAAATCTCTTTGTATTTTTGCATGTAAAAATGCGGGTTGGAAAAACTGGAAAGGGAAGAAAGCAAAGATCGCCCCCACAAGCTTTTCTTTCCTCAGAAGCTGAGCCTAAAAGAAAAGATCGAACAAGGATCCTAACAGAAGAGAAAGAAGAAACTATTATATTTTTTTTTTTAAAAAAAAAAAGGTCACAAAATTTGTTCAATTTCCAAAGCATGACATGAGTGATTGATTTGGTTTGCATGTATTACTAGCATTTTTTTACTCACCCACAGTGACAGTGAAGTGAAAATCTACTGTACCTCTCCAAATCTCCGTCCACAGTAACTGATATATTCGGAAATTGGAATCAGGGAATATGTATCTAACTTGCCTAAATTGTTTAATCTGTCATTCCTTCTAGGCCATCATCCTGGTTTTATAGCTAGCTTTGTTTTTTCCTCTCACAAATTTTGAAAAATGAATGAATGAAATGAACCAAGCTAAACTCTGTTCTCAAAAGGGATCAACTTTTTCAGTAAAAAGAAATATTCCGTATGCCCGTTTGTGTTGGTTTCCGTGAGAAAAAAGAATGTTTTGAGAAGTTCAAAATCCCCATGCATAAAGGGCATTGAGCACTACTATATCTATATATGTATACGTATATAGACATGTAGTACAGTAACAATTGTGTAAAATTTTTAATCAATCATCTCTCCGCAACTGCATATTCCTTGTATCTAAACAGGATTTGAGTAAGAGGTTTTATCTGTTTGTGATGCAACTGAATAAGAGGACAAGAATGGACAAGAGTGATTGATTACTTGCAAAATGGAAGCTAGTTTCTCATCAAGTAACTATAGTTATTGAGATGGCACTTTTTGCCCCCCCACCCCAAAACCACATTCCATTTGGAGGAAACCCCCTATGTTTCTATCTTGAAACAGAGAAAGCTGGTCAAAAGCCATACCTTTGTGCAACTTGACTGGAAAAAATTTTGAATTACATCACAAAGCATTTATATGTAACCACAAAAACAAGGGTTTTGGACAGTATTTTGAACTGCAATAAATATACATAGGCCTCCAAAGCCAAAGCCAAAGCCAAAGCCAATAACCACACTTTTTTTCTTAAAGGAAAGAGGAGAGAATGAGGAGAAAGAGTTCCTCTTCCTCCCCCTTGTTATAAATTATATAATTAATTAGTAATTAGTAGTACATGGAATTGCATGAAAGGCAGAGTCCCACTTCCACATCCCAAATCATACTGATGATGATATCTGCAAACAAATATAGAGAGAGAGAAGAGTAAAGCTGAGTTGCCTTTGATGCATATTTCTCCGCATCCTTGTCAGCACATGCAGTCCACTTTCTGCTCTCTCAAAATCTGACTTTGGACCCTCCAAAATAAAAATTTAACCTCACAGCCAAGGAAAGAACACTCCCATCACTTCTTCTCTCCTCTATTAACTCCTCTCTTTCCACACGTTCCAACCACAAATCTATAGCCTTAAAAGAAAAAAAAAAAAAACCACCCTCTGCACTATACATCATAACAAGGATTTTTAAGAAAGTTTTAGGCATCACCTAAACCTTTCTTCTTGTAGTAGCATATTTTAGATATATATAGCTAGCTCCCCTTTGTTATCTGTCTCAAGTGGAAATACAAACATCCTATAGTTTTCTGATTGGGGAACCATACCAAACTTCCATATATCCCTTACCTTAAATCTTCCTCTCAAACTTTTTTTCTTTTCCAGTCAAGATAATGCCCATGAAACTTTGTTCATAGCCTTACAACAAGTTTTGCTTCACTTTAGGTAATATATATCACCATATCTTAATTAGTTTTGTTTCCACAAAAGAAGAAGATGAGGGCAGGAGGTTGTACAGTGCAGCAAAGCTTGACAGTTGAAGCTGCAAACGTTGTAAAACAAGCGTTAGCACTAGCTAGAAGGCGTGGTCATGCCCAAGTAACGCCTCTTCATGTCGCAAACACCATGCTTTCCACTTCCAATGGCCTTCTCCGAACCGCTTGCCTTCAATCCCACTCTCATCCTCTCCAATGCAAAGCTCTGGAGCTTTGTTTCAACGTCGCCCTCAACCGCCTTCCGGCCTCTTCATCCGGCCCAATGTTAGGCCATCATCATCATTCTCCTTCTTCTCAGCAACATCCAACAATCTCCAATGCCCTTGTTGCAGCCTTTAAGAGAGCCCAAGCCCATCAAAGAAGGGGTTCCATAGAAAACCAGCAGCAGCCTCTCCTTGCTGTTAAGATAGAGCTGGAACAGCTAATCATATCCATCTTGGATGACCCAAGTGTGAGTAGAGTCATGAGGGAAGCTGGCTTTTCTAGTACTCAAGTGAAAACCAATGTAGAACAGGCTGTTTCTAAAGAGACTACTTCTGATAATAGTAATTCTGTTATCTTGTCTAAGCCAAGCTTATTACCAGTTAATGAAGGAGGAAGTAATTCAATGAAACAAAGTAAACCTAGTTGTACTACTACTACTACTACTACATCATTTGATCCTGTCAAGGATGAAGATGTGGAGTTTGTGTTAGAGAGTTTGATGAACAAAAGGAGGAAAAGTGTGGTAATAGTAGGAGAATGTCTTTCTAGTTTAGAAGGTGTAGTTGGAGGGATGATGGATAAGATAGAGAAGAGAAATGTTGTGGAGGGATTAAAGGAGGTGAAGATTATAAGGGTTGGTTTGAATACTTTTAGTAATCTTCGAAGGGAAGAAGTTGAACAAAAAGTAGGAGAATTGAGTTGCCTGGTGAGGAGTTTAGTGGGGAATGGAGTGATTTTGTACTTGGGGGATTTGAAGTGGATTGTTGATTATAGGGCTAGTAGTAGTTCATCAAATGATAAACAAGGAAGAAATAGTTACTATTGTCCAGTAGAACACATGATTATGGAGCTTGGGAGATTGGTTTATGGATTGGGAGGAGAAAATGGAAGGCTTTGGCTTATGGGATTAGCAACCTTCCAAACATTCATGAGGTGCAAAAGTGGTCAACATTCACTTGAAGCACTTTGGGGTCTCCATCCAATTACCATTCCTGCTGGTGGTCTTGATCTCAGTCTCAATACTGAAAGGTAATTTTTACAAAACAAAACCATCTTGTAATATCAGTTTTCCATGTCCCTGTTGATTTTCCTTATAGTACTTTTTCTAATTTGTTTCCTAGCTAAACTATAATTTGTTGCTAGATTTTTGGGTGTGCGTCCGGTAGCAATTTATCTTTACTGATTTACACAAGTTTCAAGTTTAATTCTTTTGGAATCATTTTGAATGATATCAAAAACCTTCTGATGATGATAGTGGGATCAAGAAAACAGTACCAAAGAAAAGTAACTTAGGATACTTCCTCAAGTTCTAATGTTCAGTTCTCTAATTGCATGTTCATTCTTTATGCTTTTTTTTTTATTCCCTAAACAGTGCCAATGGCTCGGAAATCGAGTCAAGAAGCAAGACAGCCGAAAGCAGCCTTCCTTCATGGCTTAAAGATGAGAGCAAGAGACTTAAAAACAATGATATCAATCAATCTCCATTGGAAGATCAACTCAGCCAGCAGAAATGGAACCCCATAATTTGTAGTTCTTCAATCCAAAAACCCACCATTTCATTAGACAGGAACTTAACATTCTCCTCATCATCATCTCCTTCATCCTCTACTTCATTCTTTTCATATGATCATCATCATCAGCATCATCATAATGTTAATATCATGCCAAAGCAAGCCATTTCTCCTCTCACAACTTCAACTCCAAATTCTGCTACTTCAAGTGATGACGTCATGGAGATGGAGTACGTTTCAAGGTTCAAGGAATTCAATGCTGAGAACCTAAACACACTGTGCAATGCTTTGGAGCAAAAAGTGCCGTGGCAAAAAGATGTCATTCCTGATATCGCGGGAACAATCCTTCAATGCAGGTCAGGAATGTTAAAGCGAAAAGAAAAAGTCAGCAGAAGTTTTGTTGACCATGACCAGCAGCTGGTCAAAGAAGAAACATGGTTATTCTTTCAAGGCCTTGATGTCCAAGCTAAAGAGAAGATTGCAAAGGAATTAGCTAAAGTTGTGTTTGGTTCTTACTCCAACTTTGTTACAATTGCCTTAAGCAGTTTTTCCTCCTCTACGAGGGGCGATTCGTCGGATCTTGACCATGAAAACAACAAGTTGATCGGAAGGTGTAATAGTTTCAAGAGATTGAGAGATGAACAAAGTTGTTGTTCTTACATTGGGAGACTCGCTCAAGAAATCTCGTCCAATCCGCATCGGGTTTTCTTGGTGGAAGATGTGGAGCAAGCTGATTTTCACTCCCAAATGGGCATCAAAAGGGCTATCGAGAGAGGTAAAATAACTCATGAATCGAGTGGCGAAGAAGTTAGCCTTTGTGATGCCATTATTATTTTGTCTTGTGAGAGTTTTAGCTCAAGATCTAGGGCATGTTCTCCTACAACGAGGCAAAAGTTAGATATTGAAGAAGAAGGGAAAGGATCAAATCCCCCCTTTGTGTCATTGGACTTGAACATTTCCATCAATGATGAAAGGGTTGAAGAAGATGAAGGTCAGTCGATTGATGATGTAGGGATTCTTGAGAATGTTGATGGACGTATTGTGTTCAAAATGCATGAATTAAGTGCGCTTGTAATGTGATTGTCTTCACATTTTCTTTAATTTAGTCCTCCTCTAAATTAGATTTTCTTTTTTTTTTTTACCGTTAATTAATGATGAATATTGATAGATGTATAGTTGATGACCTAGAGTATTAATTTCCAGCAGTGCCATGTATTTTCGTTTTAGTTTTTGTATATAGGGGACCTAATTAATTAACCAAATAATTAATTTTCATCTTCTTCTTCGTTTTACCTTTCCAAAAGTTAAAGCTGATATTCTCAACTTTTCTTTGCTGGTTTATCCTGAGTTTGAGTATGATATCGATAAATGATAACCATGACTAAAAGGTCACTAATGGAAATGCAATTTTTAGCTTTACGACCCAATAGATTTTATCCCTATAATGTTAATCATTAATTCTACTTATATATCGAATAGAGAAATTTAATTTATTTTTTTTTTGGGGTAAAAAAGATAAATTTAAATTTGACTTTAATGAATCACTTGCCTGAAAATCCAGTGGAGTAGGATGATGTTAAAAACATAATCATTCTCAGTTGATACTTGAAATTACTATACACAGGTTTTCAACAAGATTAATCTCTGAATCAAAGTCTACTCTAACATCAAACATTAAAGTGGATGATACTTTTCTTTTAGTGTTATTAGCCCGATTCTTACAAAATAAAATAAAAAAATAAGCCGATCGAGAAAATGAACGTTCTATTAATAACAGTAAAATGTCTACATCCTACGTCAAATTAATTAGGAACTTTGTCCACAAAGGTCATAAGTTACGTTATTTTCATCATTCGTCATTGATTGAAGAATCCTAAAGAAGAATTATACTCCCTCCTGTCCTTATTATAAGACATTTTGATTTGTCATAGGTTTGTTCTAAATTTAACTTAAGATGTTTTTTTAATTGAAATAAAAACCTTAAAAGTACTAATATTTAGGAGAATACGATGGATGTGAAAATATATTTTTAAGGGTTTTTTTTCCAATTATGTTATTTTAAATGAAACTTAAAACAAAATCAAAATGTCTTTTAATAAGGACAGGAGGGAGTACAACATAAACTTAAATTAGTAGTATCATGTAAGAGTAAATACACTCTCTTTAATAAGTGGAACTTATCAGCTTATTGTGTACTTCAAGCATCATTGCATCCTGAAAAATTGTACTAGTATATATATTTAATTAATATTCCCACTGATTTTTTTTTATAGTCCTCTTTGTTGTACTAAAATAGTTCAATAAAATGAACTATATATTCTCTATGTTCCAAAATCATTGTCCAGTTTATTTTTTAGTTTTAATATATTTTGAACTAAAAATGAAAAACCAAACTGAACAATAATTTTGAGACACAAGGGGTATATATTGAAATGGGATGAACATGGATAAGCATAAAGGAGAGCAATATATATAGATTTTGACATCAGTAAAAAGTAACAACCAATAACTACATACTACGTAAGGATATACAAAGAGAATTAGTGTACTTATAAGGTTTTTTTAATATAGTGATTCAACATGGAGGTGTGGGATTAGACGGGACATAAATTTCACTTTCCATGCACGTAATCCATTTTCGCCTGAGTTCTTCTGGGGGCTGATCCAGATTTGCCTTTAATTTCTTCATCTGTAAGTAAAATTTACACGTTCAGATGTGATGATTATATGGTAGTGTGAATGCGATCAAAGTAAGAATGAAAAAAAAAAAAATACTATCAGATGAAATAATGTATACAGGCAATATGGATGGTTCCTTGTAATTGAGGTGTCAAATTGTGATAGAACAAAACGCGCGCAAAACCTTTTATGGTCCAACTGGCTTCCTCATAAAAGTAGGTAATTGACCGAAATACAGTTTTACCTCTCTTTTCATTCCCCTACCCCCTTTTTTTTTCCTTTTTTGTGTCTAACAACATTTAGACTATTCCTCCATAGAAAAGAAAGGTGACATTTTCTTAAGAACTAACTCTCCTCCAGGAGACAGTAAGTTAAATGGGATGCGCGGTAAATACTGCTTAATTTTTTGCATGTTTTATACTCCCTCCGTCCCGAAATTATTGTCCTATTTAGATTTTTATTTTTAATTCAAATTGTAATAAAACTTAAATCTCAACCTGGACAATAATTTTAGGACGGAAGGAGTATAACTTTCCTTTTATGTTCAGATATGATTTTGTGTTTTTTTTCCTTTTATGATCAGCAATGGAATTGAACCAGAAGTGATTGAACGTGCAAAACCATATATTTAATTTTGTGCTCGACTTTCACAATATTTAAATCATGAGATGTTTTATGGGAGCACTAAATACTCCTCGCTGAAAGCGTAAGTTATATAATTGATCTTTTAGCTCGAATGGGTTAGAGTTGAATATTTCATACACAAATGGTCCAAAAATTTACTATATTGCTTTACCTTTTTCCCGGCCGTTAGTGATTACCCAATAAGCCACATGTTAACAATCTTGTAATTATCTTCATGCACAATAATTAAGTTACTTCCTTGCTACAATATTATAGCTATCATGACAAGCTAGTTTGAGTTACAGGGCACACGAGCATTGGAATACATGGAATGATTATGGTGCTCAAACTAAAAGTAAAGTGAATTTAATTATGAGGGGAGCCAATGGACATTAATTATCATGGATCGATACTCTATGATCATAAGGAATAATTGTTGCATAATGAAACCCAAAAAAATAATAAATAAATAAAAATTCAGGTGATAAGTAAAAGGAATGCCTGTCGGGAAATGCACAAAGTAAAATTAGTAGTATTTATTTAACAATTAAGGGATGATCCATAACGTAAGGGTTGTGCAAAGGAGAGGCAACTTTTTTTCTGCTTTATTAGAAGAGGAGGAAGAGAAGGAAAAAAATAAAAATAAAAAGCAAAATCTTCCCTAAGAAATATCAAAAGAGCACTACTTTTAATGCTTTGTGATGCGTTTTAGCAAAAGAATAACTTTTTTTTTCTCCCACCCCTTTAATTGATTTTCGAAACCCAACATTCTTATCTCCAGAATGCATCATAAAGTTTGTGTAGAATAGGAGGGGGTTTCAAACACTTAACTTGGTAAACAAAGAAAAAGGTGTATGACTTAAAAAATACTCCATCGGTCCTATAATTATTGTCCAGTTTGAGTTTTCATTTTTAGTTCAAATTATACTAAACGTGAAATCTTAAACTGGACCAGAGGGAGTAATATAATTAATTACACCCATTTTTTTTAAAAAAGGAAGAACAACAGAGAAAAAGAATCTATCTTTATTAAACCCCCTTAAAAAGATGTTTTCAACTTTAGAATCGCTAAAAGATCATTATCCCTTCATCACACACTTTAAATTAAACCTGTAAGCATAAGTAGGGTATTTGTCGTTTGTGTCTTTTGGAAAAAGTTTTACGAGTTTAGGCAATTTGTACTAGTGCAAATTTTGAAAAAAGTAGAGACAATGGGTTTCCCATGGCAAACTCCCCCTTTTTCTTTTTTTTCTTTTCTCTCTTTGGATTGGGATCGTTTTAAACCCCCAAGTGAAATTGAAACTTTCTTATTTCATTTTATACTTTTTTGAGGTACGATGGAAGCAAAAGCCAAACAAATCTATCTTAACCCTAAATCCCGAGCAAGTTGTAAGGCCTTAGAAAAATATATCCCATTACCGAATTTTCTCGTATATATGGATTAAGAGAATCTAATAGTTTTCCAAACAAATATGTACATCATCAATTGCCTCTATTTCTTTTTTCCCAGCTTGCTGCGAAGATACACATCAAGGAATTCACTTTCTTTAAATTGCGGAAAGGAAGAAGCCTCTATTCGATCTGGACATATCTACTTTAATTACTTGTGCTTTTTACATGATACTATCATTTCAAAGATTCTAAACCAGTACTGCTTATTTTTTACCTCTCTTTTTTTCTACCAAAATTCCTTGTCTGCAAAAAGTGAAATATCGACACTGGCAAATGATAGTATATCGTTAAGCAATGCATTTGAGTCAACATTATCCACTGTAATTACCCTTTCACTGGTTGCTTTTTGTGTTAATTTGTAGCAACTCGTAACGCAAACAAAATGTCACTGATCTCTTGGAACTCACAAGCTCCTTATATCAAAATAATACAAACAAAAAAAAAAAACAAACAAACATTTTGATGAGACGAATGTAATTTTACCAAAAACTCTTTTACGTGTTTGCTAGGAGGCAAGAGATACGCACATTAACTAGGGGATGAAGTTCACCTAAACGTCTCTCGTATAAAACTAGCAAAGTAAAACCAAGTGTAAACAATTATATTCCCATTGGTTATAGCAAAAGAAACAAGTGAAAAGTGAAAACCAAGTTTTACGACGGAGGGACAATCCCTTTCGGAGCATGCATGTCTACTTTTATTTTTTTCAGCAGCACATCTGAAAATTTCATGTGCATGTCTGTCTATATCCATATATCATTCGACATTCATATTAACTACGTCATCTTTTCAAACAATATTATTGTGTTTGTTATATCTCTTATGACCTAAAAAAAATAGCGCACATTAATTTTTAAAATTTATATTATTGATTTATTTTGGAACAGAAAGAGAGTAACAATTTTTTGTTCTCTCATCACTTCAATTAAGATATTAGATATAATCCATAAAGTAATTACACCTTTCGTTTTGTATAATTTTGTTTTCTCACCTGAAGGTATAGATTCGAAACTGCAAGCATATATCTCAATCCTGCATGCCAAAGGGGTAATCGACTGTTTTAAAGAATATGGAACGGTACGTACGTACGTGTGTGAGCTAGTGGTATCAAATTCATCATAATTTCATTAATCTTGAAACACATTGGTTCAGAAGGGATGTATAGTACACTTTGATTCTTTCTGCAATAAATAAAACAATAATGAATGGATTGATCATTACTAAATTAATTTGTTGAATTGATCACATGTGAAGGCCTCGATGGAATCTGATTGTTTTTTCTCTTTTTCCCCCCTCAAAAGCAGGAAGAAGATGAAGAAAAGATAAATATGCAGCAGCAGCAGCACCACCATATATGTATATATTTGCATGCTCTGTGTTGCTAGCTGCGCGGAGGAAGATGATTTTTTATATAAATATATATATATTTATATATATATAATGCAGAAAGTGGACAGCCCTTTTAACACCAAAAAAGTCATTCACTTTTTTGGCACTCCTCGTGGCTGATCATACACACATTCATTCATCCTTAATTTTTTCATTTGAGAGAGCTTTAAAAAAAAAAAAAAAAAACTTTCTCTTTCTGAGAGTACTTTGATCCATGCACCTTTTTTGTAAAAACTTTGGAAGGTTACCTTTTTCCATTATTGATGTTTATTTATAGTATCACCCTGGCAACACTTTCCTTCAGGCCGGCCTCTCTTTCTTACATCTTGCGCTTTCCTTAGCTCTATCAAAAATTATTACACCCCCTAATATTCTTCTTTCTTCTACTACTTCTCGTGTGTGTCTTTCCAAGATGTTGGAATATGACTTAATTTTCCACCTATGTATGTTTTCAAAAACGCGTATATCATAATTGCATTCCTTTCCCCTTTTTTTCCCTTTTTGTTGTCAAGAAAGTTCCAATAGTCCCTCTTTTCCTACCTGTATGCTTCCCAAATACTAATTCGTAAGCTAGCTAGATCAGTCTATAACCGACTATTAGACCTAATAATCCCATACATATTGAGACGTTGAGCCTATCTTTTTGTGTACTGAAATATTTCGACGAACAAGACCTAAGCAACCTCATCAGATTAGGGTTACAAAAACATATACCATTCTTATGCCTAATTGGCCAGCAACGTATTTCATGCTTTTAGGGTTTTGAAAATTTCTCGATTCCTGGTTAAATATATTTGCATTAAGTGACTATTCTAACATGTTTATACCATATAATAGCCTCCGATTTAAAATCTTATGTGAAAAATTGATGTTACTCTTCTTTTTAACACAAATTATTCACTTACAGATATGTAAAAGAATTAACTAACATCATCTCAAGTGTTCTCAATTTGTCCCAAACAAAGTGGCTAGTGTGGTTACATGTGTTCTTTACTTTTTTTTATTTTCCCCAGCGATAATTATAATATATATATATATATATAAAAAAAAGTGGGTAATACACAACTACAACTACAAAGGATTAAACTAAAACAACTATCCATTCTTGCCAAACCTAACTACAGTAGATAAGATAGAGGCTCAACTCTATGTAGAACTCTAGGCCTAACCAATTAAGCTAAGTTGTAACAATTTCATTAATTACAAAGAGAAAATAGTACAAATAATAGAAGGACACAAAGAGAACGAATAGTATGTTCCAAGCCAATTGATATTTTTTAAAAAATCACTCTTTAAAAATTTGTAGGTGAAATTAGGCTAAAACTAGTGTTTACCCCACACGGTGTGTGGTTTATTCAAGATATATATGAAGTTAATGATTTAACGATTATATAAAATTTCCGACGGAGAGATATATATTTAAAAAAATTATATTGATGATATAAATTGTAATTGTGTAATTTAGAATGTCACGTGTTTTGTTATTTTAATTACATTTGGAATACTTTTCAATGTTTGAAATCATCCAATATAACATATTGTTTACCTTTTTGCATTTTATTGATTTATGATTTTATATTTTTTAATTGTATTCTCTTAATTTTTTATAATAATCTCTCTGAATGTTTTTACCCGTGTCATATATCTTTTAAACACTCACTCTAACATGAAAATTTTTCATTATTTCTTTATGTAAACTTATCTTTATTTTCCATTTCTTTGTATACCTTTTACCACCTTTCTTTAGAATTTTGTTCATATATTTTTTCAATAATGTAGTTCTTACTATTTTTCTCTAGATTTGGTGACCTCTCTTTAAATATTATTTTTAACACATAACTCTCAAAATCAATATTAATTTGTGAAATGATTTTTCTCATCTTAACCGTCGATATTTTATTTTACATCAAATTGGTGTTTTTTTAAATTTTTTTAGTTAGTTATCTTTGGGTTTATTAGTTTGAAATTTCTTTTTGGTCACCTTTAAATTATATTACGTAAAGGAAAGTACATATATAGAGGAAAATATTTATTATTAGTTTTAAATTATATTATCTTTGGATATGTTTGGCCACGGGATCATTTATTTCATAATTTTATTTTTAGTCCATGTAACATAATGGATGAATTGGGAGGGATGGTTGGTAAAAAAATATATTATCTATTAGAGTTTTGAGAAATCTTCCAGTTATTTTAGTTTTATTTATAAATTTACAATTTTACATTAAAAATTATCATTAAATGATAGACTAATGTGGTTGCGACATGTAAATTTAAATATCTAATTTTATGCCACGTGGATTAACTCATCTAATATCACACCAGGTGTTCGATTGAAAACTCGTCTTTCATGTATTAAAGATATATGAGAATGAGCCAGCGATCGGAACGGTGAGGAGAAAGTGGGAGAAGAATCAATCTGGCCCAAAATCGAACTCTCAAATAAATATGGCCGTACGGTACTTGATGGGCCAGTCCACGAACTAGTTTAAGACCTTTTTAACCCATTTACTGTGCAATAGAGGAGCTGTTGAAAATCACTAAAACCCCCAAGTCCCCAACTCCAAGCAAAACCCTTTCCGCCCAGCTCCGTCGCGCCATCATCCTGTCCCGTTCACAAAGTGGCCTTCTTCCGGTGGTACCAAGGAAATAGGTGGAATAGAAGTTGATTATAGGCTTGGGAGGGTGATTGACATCAATATTTTGTGAAAATGTTGAGAAGGCAAGTGAGATTGAGGAGGGAGTTTCTTTATCGGAAAAATTTGGAGGGCAAAGAGCGTATGCTGTACGAGAAGAAGCGCAAAATCAAACAAGCTTTAGAAGGTTAGTTCTATCTACATTATGAGTTTCTGAGTCGTGTTTTCTTTTGTTGAATCGTCTAAATTCATCCTGTATGTTTTGATTTTGGCAGAGGGGAAACCAATTCCGACGGAGCTCAGGAATGAAGAGAAAGCTCTTCGTGAAGAAATTGACCTCGAAGATGATTACACAGCTGGTATGCCTCCCTTCTCTTTCTCTCTCACTTTGATATATATGTAAAGCTCTATTTTATTTTTTACCCCCCGGCGGTTCTTTAGTTGCTTAGTTTATGGCTTGTTAGAGATTGAACAAACTAGGTATTTTCAGCCCTTTTTTTCCCATCAAGTACCAACAGTTTGAACGTTATGAAAAATTAGAGAGCTGTTGTGGTAATCAGGTTTAATGTAGTGCTTATGTCTGTGAGTGATTCATGCATAACAAAAGAAAAGCCTGGGGAAATGGTGGGTAGGCCTTGTTCTTAGATTGTATGCTTTGTTATTATCTGGCTTCGTTGTTATTTATGCTTCTAATGCATACTGCTGAGGAATATGTGTTGACTTGATGTTTAATTGCAGTCCCAAAATCGACAATTGACGATGAATATGCAAATGCCACTATAACAGACCCAAAAATTTTGATTACAACATCACGTGATCCTAGTGCTCCTCTTACACAATTTGTCAAGGTGGTTATGATGCTATTGTTTTCTCCTCTACTTATAAAATAAATGTGCCCAACTTTGTTGCTGAGAGAGTGTTCCTTTCCAGGAGCTGAACTTGGTCTTCCCCAGTGCACAAAGAATGAATCGTGGTGGTCAGGTTTGTTTCTAGTTACACTGTTTCGTTACCTTTTGTTCTCTTTTATTTGCTTTCTTTATGGTATTGGGGTGTCTTTGGTGATGGACCTTATGCCCGTGAATACAGTTGGATGCTAATTATGTCAAACAGTTTGCATTGTAATATGTGTTGAGTCCTCTGATAAGTTCATGTAGGCACAGTCTATGCTGAGGTAATGAAAACAGTAATTGTTCATCTGGATCAAAAAGAGAATGGCGATGGGTTAGAAATGACAATGACAGTTTAAGCATTTTTCTTCAGTCAAGTTGAATGCGGTTTGATTCTTATATCAAGAGCCGTCACATTTTATATTCTATGCTCCAGGTGATTTCTGAAATAATAGAAACCTGCCGGTCTCATGAGTTCACGGATGTAATTTTGGTCCACGAGCACCGTGGTGTTCCTGATGGCCTTGTTATAAGCCATCTGCCTTTTGGACCAACAGCTTACTTTGGATTACTCAATGTGGTGAGTATTTTAAATTCCATTATGTATACTTTGGATTCTTCTTGAGCATAGTGGCAGATGTTTAAGTTCATTAGTTGCTTATGTAGGTCACAAGACACGATATTAAGGATAAGGCAGCTATTGGAACAATGTCCCAGGCATATCCACATTTGATTCTTCACAACTTCTCTTCTAAGGTGACATTTCTTGTTTATGTCAAGAATTGCAATGTTGCAATTCATGTTAATTTTTTGCGTCTGGCTGAATTCGAGAGATTTTGATTGAAACGATTCACTTGGTACGGATGCTAAATTAACGATCGCAGAACTTGTTTGTCTTTGTTTTGTTGTTGCAATTCTTCATCAAAGCATAGCGACATTGTGAGGCTCCACATGAAAATAATTTTCTCTACAACTTTTGTTATTCTTGCAACATGTAAAATAGGATTCAGCTATATGCATGGAGCAGTTATAGCACATGTCCTGCATTTGGCACTTTTTCATGCAAGTAAAGTGTTTCCTTTATGTGTGTAGATTGGTGTAAGGACAGCTAATATCTTAAAGCATCTATTCCCAGTTCCCAAGCCAGACACAAAGCGGATTATCACTTTTGCGAATGAGTCCGATTATATCTCCTTCAGGTTGGTTGTACTTGTGTTTTTAAAATAATTGTCTTCAAACTTTTATCTTCTACATTTATGCAGGTAACCACAGTTTCCTGTAGTTGTGATTTGATTAAACATCATCATGGTCAATGTTTTAATCTCTATTCTCTTCATTAGAGAAGTCTTTTATTTGGAAATGTTATGTGTTCATAAGCTTTTTTTTTTTTTTGGTGAAATGGTAAATTTATATATATTTATATCAACCAAACACTTTTTACATTAGTTCTTGGAGTTTTGCATTTCTCCAACTTCTTTACTGTACATATTACTTCAAAATTTAAGCAGAAACTGATGATTTTTGTAAGCTGTTCTTTACTGTACCTGTTTATAAACTTTTGGTCTTTACTTGTTGATATAGTGGAGTTTCAAAATAACAAACTATGCTTACGTCATTTATATAAAAGAGGTTCTTGAACAAGGGACTCGTTTCGTTATAGCTGAAATCACGAGAAGGCACTGCGTCTTGGGCTCGAGGTTCTCTGGATTTAATTTGTCATCGAACCAATCTCTCGAGAAACTGAAACAATGTCTTATCATAAGCCTTATTTTGTTTTATATTCTTAAAACGATGGTAGGACTCCACTTCTGAAACCTAAAATTCTTGATACAAATGAAGTTGCCTAATATTTGGAAGTTTTTGAACGATTTGTCCAACATCAGTCTATTAATAGCCAATTTAGTGGACAGCTCTAGATGAATGTTATTTGTTAAGAGTTTGTATACCTTCTTGCAGGCATCATGTCTATGAGAAACGTGGAGGCCCCAAGTCCCTTGAACTGAAAGAGATTGGCCCTCGCTTTGAGTTGAGACTTTACCAGGTAGCTCCACGCATATGTTAAAGTGAAATACTTGTATGTTGTAGTTGTGTCAAAACTTATGTACCAATGAAGGATTCAAGACAAAAGTACTTTTGGAAACAAGTTTTCTTTTTCTTGTTTAATAAAGATAGAATCAGAATAAATGTTTGGTTTTTGGAGAATGCTTTGTGGTGGTGTTTTCATTCTACTAAATGTTACCCCAGTCATTTGCTGCTGCTAGTGATTAATAACCGGACTCTATTGTTTTTTTTTATCTAGAATGAGAACTAAATGATTACAGTGGATGAATCACATTTTGGGTTTAATTAATCATTCCAGCTTTATAGTTTGATCAGATCTTTGCTTGTATTAAAGTTTGAAACTTCTTTTTCAGATACTAGTTTCTGAGTGGACTGATGCTTCATGTAACTTCTTTTTGAGCTACCTGATTCTAAGTGAAGTTACTTGTTTTTGAGATGCCTATTCTGTTGTGCTTGATTCTAATTTACTTGTGATCAATTTTTTCTCTTAATTGAAACGGTGTGTGTTCTCATTTGAACTGGGTTGTCTGCCTTGCCTATGCTTTTAACTGTTTTGCTTTGTACAAAGTTGATATTTTTGGCTGTTGCAGATCAAGTTAGGAACGGTGGATCAAGACGAAGCCCAAACTGAATGGGTTCTGAGACCATACATGAACACTTCCAAAAAGAGGAAAATCCTCGGAGACTGAGAATAGCATAATAGATGTTCGTTTTAATTCTTCAGAATGGGGGAATGGGGATGCAATCAGATATTACCTGTGTGATTGGTTTGTTCAACTAGTTGGTCATTCAAAAATTTGAAGCCGTTTTGCTAGCTCAGTGCTACACAACCGGATAAGTTGCCGAAGTGATAGAGAAGGTGATGAACGTTTGTTCTTCCCCCTTTTTCTTTGAAGAGACGTAGTGATTGTTTTTTTTTTTTTTTTTCATATGTAATGACGAACATTTTGCTAATGTGTCTTTGAACCTTGCTGCGGGCGGTGGAATTATGACTCCCCATGTTCATTAGCAGCAATGCAGCATATGTCATTCACCTTGTTAGATAAGAGGTGGAAGTTTTGGGATTCAAAATTTGTACAAATTATATTATTATGATTAAACATTAATTATATTTATCACTGTGGTAGAAATTGGTCCATAAACTGGAAGATTCATATGGAATCAACATTCTACAGGTTGCGGCTTGCAACGTAAGTGCATCTCAATCGCACGACTATATTTCATTTTATGACACTGTAGATTTATTTTATTTGTTGTATTAAAATCAAACTTTGATCAAACAGATGGATTTTGAAAATGCAGATGGTGGCGCAGAAAGAAGAGAATCCGTGGCATGCGATTATGCAATGTAACCCTAAATATTTCATCTTCGTTTTCTAGTCGTTGATGAGTTGACTTGGTGATAGTATTAAAAAACATTATCATGTCCTCCTTTGGTCTTAAAAATACCATTAATTATTTCTTCCGCTCATTATCGTCATTTTAAGAATTACTAAAAATTCTGCAACTGGGTTTTCGTCCACGTCACTCTGGACTTAGCAGTTTGGTAGTACTTTGTACTCCGTCCGTCGTTCCCAAGAAAAATTTATCCGTTGCCCACAAAACCTGCTGCAACCCTATTACTCGCAGTTTTTGCTCATTTCTTCCGTCTCAATCTCCCCTTCTCCCACCGGTTGCCAAGTCTTCCACAACCTATGTGAACGGGGTAAATCAGCAGGGTCAACAACAACGTTAGAGATATATAGTTCCTTAATTGTTTTCAAGTAATCAAGCATATCATTTTATCATCATGGCTGGGCTAAGTCATATTGGGCTGGCGCTGACAATAATTTTCGTGATCTCCTTGGTGATTCTCTTGTCGGAGCTCTTGTTCGTGTTATGGCGGCGCCGCATCTTCCACCGTCAAGCTCTCAGCCACCATCAGACCACCGTGCACGGCCGCGATCCGGCTGACACCAACTCCCAATCATTCTCCGACGTTTCATCTACTTACTGCGTGCCTTTTGCCTACTCCAAAGAGCTGCTCTACTTCTATTTCTGCATGAACAGTTCTCGAATCTCCAGAATCCAGCCTAATAATTCGTCCCCGCCGAGTGTTACGGATCAGTCCCGCCCGGATGACGAAGAATTGGAGGAGGTGATCGACGTGTTTAAACTGCAGAACATAATGTTCGGACCGCCCAGGTTTCTGTTTACAATTAAGGAAGAGGAAGAGGACAAATTCAACCACCACCGGGATGAAACTGCTGCTAACAAGGATTATAAGGGATCAGCAAAGTTAGAGGAGTATTTGAAAGCTGCCGACAACGTCGATGAGGAGTCGCCGCCGACCACCTTGTCCGCGGTGCTGCAGGCGGCGGAGGATGAGGAGGAGATCGCTGCAGAATCGGTGGACAATGAAATTGCGATCGACATGGATGATAATGATGATGATGATGAATGTTGTCTATCGCCTTCGCCGCCGTTTTCAACTCCTTGTGAATCGCCTCTATATTACTTCACTCCGTCAGCTTCGCCGATTAACCCAGCACCGTCGGCAGCCTTTTACTGTGATGAGGAACATAATGACTTTGGTGGGCCTCCAGATTGTCGATCGTTTTCCACGAATTAAATGCGTTCAACGATCAAATATATTGAAATTAATGGGTGATGAATCGGCGTTGTTCCCCCTTTTTTCTTTTTGTCACTTAAAAAGTTTATTTATTTTCTTTCTTTTTTTTCCATGTAAATATTTAAATTTCAACAATGCTATCTTTTTCATAGTGATGTGGTCTTCTTGCTAATTGCTAGTTTGCTACTTCCCTTACGCAAATATAAATTTTGGAATTATTGTTGTCAATTTCTTGTAATATTGACGATTAGGTACCTACCTACACCTAGTAAAAATCAGAATGTGATGATTTATATAATGCGAAAATTTGTTGATCATAAAACGTATGCCGCATGCCAATCTTCATCATCATCCACTGCTGATGACAGGGGATGTCTCCCCTCTCCACTATAACCAAGAATTTATCTTCTCGGCAAAAAGGGGGAGGGAGAAAAAAAAACAGCAGTGGGCCTTTTTTTCGGCCCTCATAAGAGGTTTTCGACATTATGCTGCTAATGGATCGGATCAACCAACCGATTCTAGCCCAATATTTATATGGACAACGATTGCAGCTACTCCGTATATCTCTCTGTCCGTTGAAAAACAACTACGCCCAAGGTCATTTCACTCGAAGCTTAATCAAATCATCCGGAAAAATCCATGTCGTCACACAAGTTAGTCCATGCCGAGTATTGATTAATCTTTGAGTTTTTATTTCTTCTACATTATATCATTGCAATGATGAAAAGTTTATAGTTCAGACTTTCAGCTATTCAAATTTCAGATATACCCCCTCTCAAGCTCTATTTTGGTAAAGCAATAGTATTTGTACCCGACATGATAATATTTTAAAGTTTATTTGTATTTGTATTAGAAGTGGAACATATAACAAGTTGTGTTAGGGAGATGTTTATATGCAACATAAGCCCCAGTGAAATGGTTTAAATAAATTAAAGACAGAAAAACAGTTATGAAATTTTGTTATGATCTATCATCTACGTATATTTAATCAGATCCGCAGTATGCCAAACTGCAACAGTCCAATGACATGGTATTGTGAGATTGTTTATACGAATATTTCTGTGTCTCTAACTTAAATAGTGGGAAAGAAGCACGGAGAAGATGAGCCTCCTCGGTTGATCGCAGCGCAGGTGAGTTGGAGTTGTTGGCTTGTTGCAACCTACAATTAATTTATATATATATTCAGGTGGTGATTAGACCACCAAGATTCTAAACCACCGCCATGGCCCCAGGCCAAGTCATCAAAATATCTTAAACTGATGACGCACTATCGATTTTTTTTTTTTTTGTTCATTAGTCAAGTTTCAATATGATGAAACATCATCACTTTCCCACTTGCAGTTTCCCATAGTAGATTGTCAATAACACCATAAAACTAAGGGCCGAGTAGGTAATCTGAATTTGTGAAGCAATTAAATTATCTACTCCCTCCCTTCCAAACAAAAATGGGCAGAGTACGTATATAGCTCAAACAAAACCTGGGTTGATTAAATTGGACTATCTAATCACTTTCACGACTTATACGGTTTCAATCCTGGTTTATCTGTTTGTTCAACTTTTCAATTTTGTCTGTTAAGTACGGCTTGATGACCGAGTGAACATACTATGCAAAGATGTCCATCATAACACGGTATTAGTATCTATAACCTACCTTATGATCACGATTAGCGGATTCGGTGTATTATAAGTAGAATCTCCATTGCAAATTAAACCTTACCTCAGGCAGGTAACAAACACCAGCAACATTAGGTTAAAGGAGTGATGTTTGATCGAAACTTAATCAATAGATTAAACATAAATGCGAATACTACGTCAATCACTGGAAGAAAATGTCAAAAAACATGAGCATGATCATTCTCGTGACAATATTTTACTAGTACGTTTAATCGATCGATGGCCCCACTTTGCATTGACTAATGCCAATTAAGCCCCCCACCAATTCAAATTTTGAATGGCTCGTTTCTTTCCGCAACTAGCCATGTGCATTGCAGGTTTGAAAAGGTCCACATCGGAACTGCCTTTTCTTTTTTAAAACAATTTGTTGCGTGACTCGACCTCAACTGCGTCCCTAATCTTTTGCCATTATCTAATAATATCAACGTGCATTATTTTTTTTTACCAACAAATCCCTTAAGTCAAACTTAACTCAATCAAAACCTTACTTAACACTCAATCACTCTCACCCAAATGCCCATTTCGAAAATTCAGATACATATGTTATAGCCTAAATGATATTCATCCAAATGTAAGATCAGGGATAAAACTACATCTTTGCAAAGGATAATGGAGAAAGAATTCCACAAAATATAGGCCAATATAAGGAAGAAAAGAATCACAAAAACTAAAATAAACGCACAAGAATCTCGTTATTTATTTACAAAAAAAAAAAAAGAGAGAGATGCAGCAACAATCATATACTGCAAAAAATATCCAAGATATACTAGAAATCTAGAGTATATGATGCAGTAATCGAACAAGATATGCTACTAGAATATATTCCAAAACAGGGAAAAAAAAATGAGTAAACGATATATCAGCCGGAATAAGAATGCATCTGGCAGCAGAATAACTAAAGAATGTGTGGGAAAACCGGCGAATCAGCGAGTCCGAAGCATAGAAACTCAAAAAAAAGGACTGGGAATCGGTAAGAACTACCAATCTAGGTAACACCGTTTGGACTGGAAAGTGCCGGACGATGTCCCGTTGGCAATCAGAGGGACCTCCAAATCGCACTCCATCTTTGGCTTAACCTTGGGGGATTTGAACCACCAGAACTTGAGCCTTATCCTGAAATTCAACTTCAAATCGATGCCGTAAACCTTAGAATTCTTGTCGTTGTTGTAATTGGAGACCTGGTCGGAGCTGAGGGGGATGAGTTGTTGGCCTTGGAACCTAAGGTGCAAATCCGTGGTGTTCTTGTGGTGCTGATAGAACGGATCCAGATTCACCGTCTTGAACCTCTGGCCCTGGTAAAGAGCATTGGCCTCGATGGTGTCGTAATAAATCCCAATTCTCTTGTTAGGGTTCCGGACGGTCAAGTTCAGGGCCAAGTCGTAATAGAGCGTGTTGTTGGTTGGGGAAAACTCGAATTGAGTCAAAGCGGCGTCGTCGGCGTGAATCTTGACTTTGTTTGGGCGGAAGACGAGCCAGAGCACCAAGATTATGACGCCGAGAACGACGGCGAGGGTGCAGAGGATTTGGAAGACGCAATTGCAGATGCATTGGGCAATACACCCACAACAGCAGCTGAACGGGTTGCAGCTGCTCCCTCCGCCGCGTCCTGGGCGGTACGACTTCTTCGACGGCGGCGGAATTGAGGGGCCGTAGTAGGCTCCGTTCAAGTGCGGCTCAGGCATCTCGAAAAGCGAGACAATTCAAAATACACAGAGAGAGAGAGAATCAGAATTCAGAAACGGTTTTTTTTTTTCTTCTTTCTTGGAAATGGAGATATGGTGGATATGGGATTGATTGGGAATCGGGTTGGGTCGAATTTATATAAGTTTTGGGGATGGGGTTGAATTGGTAAGCGGAAGGGTTAATAGGCCGCGGATTTTGAAATAATTGGACTTGTTTGGAGTGTGAATGGTTGGGCCTATAGAGAAACATCAACACCATATAACGCGTTTACGTTTTTGTTGAAGAAAATGACCATAATCAGAGATATTTACGTGTAATGCTATTAATTCGGGAGGATATTGCTTGGTACTTTCCTATGTAATTTAAATCACGCATCCAATTGACTTGGTACCTGCTCACCTGCTCTACAAAGTTGCATGGAAGGATCCTTTTAATTGAACTCATTTCTCAAAAAAAAACGAATAATTGCTCGACTGGTTTAAGTATAATGATAATTTTGATTGTTATTATCCCTTGCAAAATTAGTAAATAGGAAAGTGGCGTTACATTAGGTTTTTTTTTTTTTTTTTTTGGTACTGAACAAAAACAGGCATGTAACTGTGTTGTTAGTGTTCATCATAATCATTCCATTTTTGTTGACCTAAGACACACACAAAGAGTGTGAAAGGTGAACCAATTCCTGAAAGCAACAAGAGGATGTGAATGATGATAATAGTAAAAATAAAAATAAAACCCTACTGTCACGGTACAAATAAATTAGTATCACAGTGACTAGTGCAACCCTTGATGACACAAAATTACTTGATAATAGTGACCACGATAATGTAATTGTGGTACGTGATTATGATCGTGGTTGAAAATCACCGCAAATAGAATCTGGACATGCAATACGAGTACATTGGAGGCAAGTACAAATTCAGGAGTCGCATAATGAATATGATGATTATATGAGCAAAAAATACTAGTAAGCAGAATTACAAGTCAAGAAGACTCAAGAGCCGTGTAGTTGATGAGCTAACAAACACTTTTGCACCTACCGAATGTACCTATTACTACCTGGGTTAGTTTGATAACTTAAAAATGTTTGAATGTTGAACTTAAGAACTAAGAAAATAAAAACTGCGTTGAAACTTGAAAGCGCTACATATTTAAACAAATCTAGGGAAGTATTAATTTTCTCTAGTATAAACACACGGCGTTGTCAAAACCATCACATCATCATGATTTTTATAAAATTGGCTGATTACTTCTGTTCAATCCATCCTATGTTTCTATTGGTTGTTTTCATGTTATACGGGTGTTGGCAACAAAAATAAAACTAAAAATTAGTATAACACTAGTTACATAATTTATTTAGTTATAAGATACTAGTATTATAACTGTAATAATAACACATGTCCGTCATTTTATCTTACTGCCTTTGGTTCCATCAAATGTAATGTATCTGAATCACACACTAAATATTGTCTTCATCAAATTTTCTTCCTTTTTAAAAATAAATCAAATCTGATATATTACGTGCCTAAAATCTATATCCCGTTAATTCAATTCTTTCCAGAAACAAATATGTTGGGCTCAATTCTGAACAGGTTTGAATCAGCAACAATTTCTCGGGCTTGAAATGAGCCCATCATATCTAGCCAGCAGGCTAGCCACCAATGTATAGTATTAACATGCCCTACGCTTACTGCCTAGTTTTTCTTTCGCATAAGAGTGCATTCAGCCCACTAGAAATTTGCGCCTCATTCAGTCTACTACACAAAATTGCACTGGTGATATATAAGAAAATACTAGGCGAATATTGTAATTTTTTAGGCTTTTTATCCTCCTCAGAACGTTAAAAAAAATTGCAGCCTGGTTCTGGTAAGTTTTGGGATACTATCTCACCGTTTCTACCACAATTTCTCAAAAAGTTAATATTAATTCATCCGTTTTAAAAAAAAAAAAGCACTTCTTCTGTCCCAAAATTATTGTCCAGTTTGAGATTTCATTTTTAATACAATTTGAACTAGAAATGAAAACTCAAACTGGACAATAATTATGGGACGGGGGGAGTACTTCACTTCGTCATACTAAGGCTCTGTTTATTTGATTTTTTTGATGGTTTTTTCAGTTTATTTTATTAATAAGTGTCTCATCTCATAATACCTTTTTACATTTTCAACCCACTTTTTTATGTTCTCAATACAAAAAATACCTAGAAAGACAAACTAAAAAAACGAAACAAACATACCCTAAATTTTAGGGACAGAAAAAGTAATAGGCTAATTTTTTCCCCATAATTGTTTTGCCCATATATAGAAGGTTACTTTTTCCTCCTGCTGATATGGACAACGCCTCCATCACTAATCAGCGATGATGTGTAAGTCGTAACAAATCTTAACCTAATTTAAAGAGGTATGGTTAAATTTGTATCGGTTAAAATAGTTATTTTAGATATCAAATGCGTAATATTATAAAAATAAAAATTAGATAAAAATATTATATACCGAAGATTGTCATAATAATAATTTAGAAAAAGCATATGAAAAGTACCAGTGAGTAATTTCAACTCTATAAAACCCACGAAAAGCATATGAAGATCAAGTCTTATGCCGTTCTCATTCTGATCGAGGACCTTGAAATTGAAAGTAACAAAAAAAAATATACCCTTAAACAACTAGCAACATAACCCATTAACTAGCCCTCCCGGCTCCCACATTAATTAAGTAATTTAAAAAAGGCTAAAAAGATTGTAATTCCGATTCTGATTGATAGCTAGCTTTATAACTAAGTGAACTAGTAAAAAAATTAGCTCACTAACTACATTTTTTTTTAAGGTAAGCGTTTTGCAATCTTTAGTAAGTGCGCATATTAGTTTCTTTACCAGCAATCTTTTAATAAGTACAAAAGTGGAAAAAAGCAAATGCATTTGGGTGGACGAAGTTTTGAGTTGTGACATAAATTAAGTGAAGAGATAACAATAAAGGAATAATAACACCACCATTTGACAACCCAAATGATATTTTCAATTATTTTTCAATCACACAATTATTAACGAGAAGAGTAGCGACGACGGAAGATGAAAATGACCACCTCAAATATCATGTGCTCATGAGAACCCACCTCCAATTTGCACATCCAAGTCCACATCCCTCCCGCCTGATCCACATGTAAAATTTTCTTCAAACATCTTCCTCAATTAATTCATGAACTATGTAAGTATGAAATTTTGTCAAATTACATTAATACGTCATGAATTTTTTATTTTTTTTTTCTAAAACTTGCAGTTTCATTCATATTTGCTTACATAAATCCTGGACTACAAATAAAAATCATTTAAAGTGAGACACAGTAAATTGTATTGAGTTTTTTCTCTCTCTTTTTTTTCCATAATCTCCTTCGCTGAATTGTAGACATTTCAAGGCAACAATGACTAATCTCTGTCACTGAATTGCAAGCATTTAAATGGATGGGCCAGTGAATCAAAGTATTTAAGGTTGTTTCATGCTCATAGCGAAGTTCGAACCCTCGAATTTCAATGGATGGGACAGTTAGTCAAAGTATTTAAAGTTGCTCCATGCCCATAGTAAACTTCGAACCCTCGACCTATAGTTAAGGGTGGAAAAGTTCTGTCCACTCCACCACAACAATTTTGGTTAGTTTTTTCCACAACCATTTTGTTTGGTTTTTTCTTTCATTGGATATAGTCTAATTAAATAGATATTGTATTCATACGTGGCCTCCTTCATGCAGATTAGTCGGTCACACCAACTCTAATTAATTTTCGATTGCCTTTTTATGTTTGACTTTGTATACACATCTTTGAGACATGAGTACATCGGCAACACATGTATACATGTTTTGTCTTTGTTTTGAATACTAATTTTCAAGAAATTGATAATATATTATGGGTCACCCAATCCTAAGATTATTGTTTATGTTTTACTTTTAATATTGTCAAGACAATTATTTATGCTCCTATTACAATTTGTTGGGGCGGATCTAATTTTATTATACACGTATTTATATGTCCACGTTTTTTTTTTTTGGTTTTTTCTAAGCGTATTTTGAGGTTTTTGAAAATTGTTTTGTACATAAAGTTATTCATAACTAAAGAAATCACGAATTATATACTCCTCTTGTCATGCAAAAATAAATCAGTTTAAAAAATTGAAACGGGACTTAAAAGAACTAAAATTTTCCCTCTTTAAAGCATAGCACTTAATAGTTAATTGTTATCCTTTTTAAAACTCAACTAGATGCTTGGTCCGGACAAATATCCGGGCGCCCCCTCTAAATTACTATTTTATTAAAATCTAATTTAATTACTATTTTTTGAGGAATTAATTTGATGTATATATCATTTATGCTATGGTTTGGGGCTTAAAAGAATATACCTATAAATCTGAGGTTATAAGGAAATAATAAATAATTAGTTTATAAGGTATTATTCTTAATTGCTGGATTTAGGTATTTTTATTTTTTGTTTATATTAAGCCTGCAAAACTATACGACTGGACATTTGAATTTGAATTAATATATTCATTTGTTTGAAATGTAACTAATCCTTATTTGTAGTAAAACATGTGTTTTTTTTAAAAAAAAATTATATAACTTATAATTAAAAGAGACTTACACGTGGCAAAAAGACTTCAGAAATCTGAAATATGGTGCATTGGAGCCAAAACAGATGCATACGTAGTTACCACATAAGCTTCATGTGTTCTGCTTTAATAGGATAAAAAAGGGATTATTGAATAGGATATAAATGAAAAATGTAAAACATAAAATAAGTTGCACTTTAATTGAATTAGATGAAATTAAAAAAATTCTACTCTATCTCTCCAAAAAAAAATAATCCGTTTGAAGTTTGAGTTTTTTTTTTTTTTGGGACAGAGAATATTATTTTAGACTGAACTATTATTTTGAGGTGGGAAAAAATATACTACAAAAGGAGCTTAAAAGGCGAGGTGCCTAACAATCAAAGGTGTGATGCAGACTGCTGAGTAGGAATTCTGTTTTGTAAAGTTCAACTACAATTATTCCAAATTGCTAGGCTTCTAGCTACTAGTACTCATCCCTCTCTGACATTTGTTTATTTCGTTCAGTTCAACGTTTCCCTTCGCCGTTAGTAAACTAAGAATCACACGTGTCCATGAGCTCCACCAAATGGGATACTTTTTCATTGGGATTGGGATACAAATTTTTCCGCCCATCTCTACCCAGCTTTTGGTGTTTGTTAGATCAAATGATGATCATCCTTTCCATCTGGAAATTTTTTATAGCACAAAACTCCACGAATTGTTATAATTATTAGTTCTGCATATATTAGTAGTAGTAGTGCGCACTTTTCTTTTTTATAGCACTAAAACTTTCTTATTTTTTTTCCCAATATAATCTTTCCAGCTTTTGGTAGTATAGTAGAAAACTCCAATCAATTGTTTTGATTAAAGAAAAAAACGAAAAAGAAAAGAGAACTCCAATCAGGCAATTAATTTGGTACCCCAACTTTCTTCACATAAACGTAAACGAACACTTGCCAACCAAACCAATCTGTTGCTGTGACTTCTTTCTAAAAGTAATCAAAAAACGATATGCTCTCTCTGATAGCAGTAGTATACATAGATAGATTAATTGAAACAACAAATGAAGGTCTAGTAGATAGCACATGGGATGCCCCCATTCTACGCCTTTGATTAAAACACTCAACAGCTCACATCCATTCATGAATTTTCAACTATCATTAATTAGGGGGAAAAAAATTATTAAAGCCATATCTTCAGGTCCAAACTAAGATCAATCTCAAAAACTACGAACATAATTTAATAAAAAAAAAAAGGAGTCCTAAGTGTAGTAATCAGTGTGAAGAAGATGCAGAAGAACAGAGGAGTAAACATTAAGCAAACTCTAAAGAGAGGGGGAAAAAAAGAAAGAAAAAAAGAAGAAGTTGAGAACAGATGATAAAGTTTTAAAATGAGTGAAAGAGACAAGTGAACCTCCTCCATACAAATAACAAAAGCTGCTTTGACTTTTCTTACTCTTTAGCTAAAATGCAAATTATTGCACAATCTGTGTAGCAGAGTGACTAATAGTCTAATTACTAATTTTAGTAACATCCAGAGAATTGCAACTCGTTTCACCACTCTGGAAATTTTGCTGTAATTATTAATCAATTTGTTGTTCTCAAGTTCCATTCATTTCTCAACTTATTTAATTTAGCAAAATTTACAATTCAAATCATATCCATCCCTATAAATTTATATCTCCATGAACATAATCCCCCCCCTTTTTTTTTCCAACCAGAGAAATAAAGAAGTTGAAGAAGAAAACTAGAAAAGCTCAAATAGAAGAAAAATACTATAGTTTTAGTAATGAACTTGAGCTGTGACGAAATTCGGGTTTGTCGGTGGTCGGTCAGAGGCTGACACTGCAACTCTGAGACAGCTGGTACTTAACGCCGGTGCCGATGACGATTCCGGTGCCCCGATTACCGAACGGAATATAAGCCTGGCAGGTGACATGTATGTGGTAACGGCCGGTGGTGACGGCGCCGACTTTCCACTTAACCCGGCCGTCCAGCCGGATCTTCAAATCAACGCCGCCGTTAGATTGGGCCTGGGTGAGAGCTAATCCGTTGTAAGGCGCAATTGGGACCATAGTCCCATAAATAAAAGGAGACCAAATATTGACATCTTTGTGGCCTTGGTACACGGAAGGTATCTGGGTGTAATAAGTGATCTGTTGGCTGTGGTAGGTGGCGTAGACATGGAGATGGTCGTAGTAAATGCCGACTTTGCTGTTTGGGTTGCGGGAATAAATGGTGACTTGTAAGTTGGTGGTGAGGATATTGGGCGCCGGAACGGTGAGGTTGAAGATGGTGGCGTCTTGGAGGATGAAGCGTGGCTTTTTGGGCTGCAGGATTGCCCAGGTGATTAGGAAAATCAACAGCAGTATGAAAGCTACTACCAGAAGTATGGCACACAGGCGTTGGAAGAACCTCTTCTGCTTTCCCTTATGGTGGCTGCACACTTTCTCCGTCATGGCTTAATCTCCGGCGGTGAGGGCTGCCGACGGTGGTTCTTGGGTTGTGAAAAGTGGTAGTGTTGAGAGAGAATGAGGATGAGAGGTTTGGGAGTAGGAAAAGTTTGGAACTTTGGACAGATGAGAATTGTCTAGTATTTATCTTTGGGATTGGGAAATTTTTATTTTTGTTAGGTCTTGGGTTCAGTCCTTTTGCCCTTTCCTTCTTTTATGTTATCGAATGCTAAGGGGGAAAAAAAAGTTAATTGCTGTACTATTTGCATGACGTGCTAGAAACGCCTAATGCATTATAGATTGTACTTGCATTTGCCTGTGTTATACTACTCCTACGAAACCGCGGAGTTAAATAACATGTAGTACATGAGATAATTAGAGAACAAAAAATAATACCCTTTTCAGTTTTCAGAAAAATATAATGTGGTAAACTTTAAGGAAATATTAGTAGCAATTCTGTGCATATCTTTTGCGTCCAATGATGTTGTACCAAAATACTCCTCCTATTTACGGTTACTGTTTTTAGATTGTCCGGGCTAGTTTTTTTAACAGATGATGTGGAAGTACGCGTGAATATGTACGTTATTGTAGATTTGGTTGACTTGGACAGCTGTGGAAAAAAGGATGGCAACTTACGGTGAATAGAAGTGACCTCGGAAAGCAAGATGTGCTTCTATGTTAATCAATACTTAGTTTAATGTTGCTCTTCTTAAATACGAGAAAGAGTAATGGCTTAAATTAAGGTGAGATCAAGAGAGATGGTGAATATACTCTAGTACTCTACTTTACAGAAGGGAGGTTTGATTAAACTATAGGAAGAACGAGAAGAAGAAGAAGGTGTACAAGTAGTGCATTATAATTGTGATTTAAAATGATTGGCTGAAAAAAAAAACCTAGTCAGCTTCAATTCTTACACACATGCATGTGCATTAGTCCATAAATACAGCAATGACGATGTGAACAAATTATACTACCACGAGACAATCCCAAGTACCCAAAATGAACTCTATATTCCGCAGCAGATCAATTGTTGCGTTTCCAGTGAAAAACTTAACAAAATTAAAAACTTGTTCACGACTAATGAATTTCCAATTTTTTTTCATACCATTAACCAAATAACATTTGGAGGAACAAAAAATCATTAATAATACGCAACTTTAAGGTGCATGAGGAATCAAAATTCAGTAGTAAATCAGCCACTACATCTATAAATCGGTAAGAATAATAGATTCAAGGGAGTAAGTGAGGCCCATGCTGGACTCAGAAATACTGCTATTAAAAGTGATATTGTATATTGATGTTACTGTGTAGTATTATGCAGCCATTGTGATGGGCGCAAACAACAACACGTCGGACAAAAGTAATGAGAAGTTTTCCGAATGTAGGCGCCTTAGGGTGGGTGATGGATCCTGGGCCCCACTTATCGTGTTACTGGCGAAAGCTCCCAGCTCAGCTACCGACCGACGCCTCTTCTCTTCATCCTTTTTCCACTTTCTTTTTTTTTTTTTTTCTAGTGCTGTCAGAATTTTAGGGGTCGGTTCCAGTCGACTCGGATGATATCATTATAATGTAATAAAAAATATTTAATTATTATACATTAATAATTAAAAAATTTAATATTTATGAATCTTTTTCTTTGGTAATAGTTAAAAATATTACTTAAAAGCATTTAATTATAGATTAAAATAAGTATATTAGTTTAAAAATTAATAAATTTATTATTAGTAATTATAATTTATAAATTTATAAGATAATCAACTTTAATAGTCAAAAATATTATTTTAAAGCATTTAATTATAGATTAAAATAAGTATGTTAGTTTAACAATTGATAAATTAATTATTAGCAATTACAGTTTATAAATTTATAAGATAATCAACTTTTAGTGTTAATAAAATGTATAACATAAAAATCAATTTCAATATATTTGAGATATATTTTAAATTTTGAACAAACATTGGAGGTTCATATGTGATAAAAATAATAAAAGGATTTTTCTTTAATAAAAATGGTGCGTTTTATAATATGGAGTGAAAAATTTGGGGCTAAAATGACAAATTAACTCTTTGAAGAAAAGTTGTTTGGCCATTTAAGAATAAAAGACAAAGATTTGGACCAGAAAAGATAAAAAAAGTACATGGAGTCCAAGGAAAAAATTAAAAAAAACTGGTCAAATTGTGCAAAAACCAAATACTTCAAGTCGACTCGGGCTTGACCGATTTCCAATTCACTCAAAGTCTTGACCGGGTCCTAAAGCAATGAGTTTTTAAGCAATTCAGCTCGGCATTTGGTCCGAATCCCGGTTTAGCCGGTTGAACTGGCCAATCCGAGGCCAGTTTAACAACGTTGCTTTTTTTCACAGAAAATTATAACGTCAAATTCCACGAAAAAAAAGAAAGAAAAAACACATAATCATTAAAACAAAAAAAAAAAGACACCCCAAATACTGCATATACATACACTTTCCTTTTAGGTAGTTGCGTTCTGTTGCGTTCTCATCTTACGTATATTTGCCAAGTATTCTATTGAGTGGAATATATGTATATTTAATTAGTTAACTAATAATCTTAAGAAAGGGCTTTTCATGTTGAATAGATAGACATGACATGGTATGTGACAAGGTTTATTGCCGTTGCATTATTTTTTAATTGAAAACAGTTTTAAAATGTTTTTTTCCAGATGAAATTTGGAACTTATTATTGTGAAATTGTTAATCTTTGTAAGGTTAGTGTCACTCACACGTAGCTATCGCTCGTCTATTACTATTAGTTATGACAAACGAAAACGAATATTGCAATGGTGGAGGTGGCCTCAGTCCTCTTCCAAGGGTCCAAAAGTCTGGGCTTTGATAGGGTTGGTAAAAAGTCTCCAAAAACTCTAAAGGCGCGCCATTGATGTGAAAGCAGAAAAGAATCCAAGAGTTTAATTAAGCCCCTTCTTTTTTTGGTTACTAGTATAATTTACGAACCAAATGCTTGCATTTCTTACCACTTTTTCAGTGCTTTCATTCGCTTTTTTTTTTTTTTTCTGTGATCTTGTTCGCTGTAAATTTTCATTTTTTTTGGTGGCTTGTTCGACCTACCATTCTTCTTTTTCTTTTTTACGACAAAATTGTCCTCAATACCATCTGACTCATACTAGTGATATTCGAATACTATATGACAATCGGACCAGTTTTTATAGAGGTTGGGCTGTCGTTGAAGTAAATATCTCCATATTTCAAGAGTTCAACTATAGCGAGTGTGAGAGGTAGATTGGCAAAAGTTCCTTTTTCACAATGTAACGTAGTCAATGGGGCAGCTTGATTCAGAAAAAAAAAAAATTTCAATCGTTTTTGTTTCATGTTTTAGGACGTTCACTATTACACAAATCAGCTATATATCCTGCAATTCTCCATCAAAGGACATATCCATGGACCATGGTTGGTGGAATTTTTATTTTTGTTATTTTAAGTTTTTTTTTTCTTTGAATGGCTCCATAAGTCCAAAAGTTGGGTAGGATAAGAAGTAAAAGCAGCCACAAAGAAGAAGCCAAAGAAGAATATAGACATATATGTAAATGTAAACTGTAAATAAATTATAGTCTATGCTCGATAGGCATGCATGTGGTGGCCTGTTGTCTAAAATCTCTCAATATCCCAAAAGGGTCCAACTTTTTTATCCTGCACGCACAATTATGCTGATTCGTTTTGCCCTTCGCCGGACCCCCACTTCTCCGGCCGGCGGCGCCTAGTACTGACTCTACTGACTACTCACAGTCCCCACAATATCAATCTTGATAATTGCACCCCCTGCACTTCTGTCCAACTTGCACCAAATCTCTTTCATTCTCTCTGTTTAAGGTACAACTTTTCTTCCATCGCCAGCCCCTGTGGACATATTTTAGGTGAACTTAGGAGATCTACATTTTTTCCCCGCTCAATAAACTTTGTCTCACAATTTTGTTGATTTTTTCTCATCCAAGGTGCGGTGCCGTTGAATCTTATGAGTAAAGTATCTAGGTGATTTTATAGTGTTTGCCTATTTGGTTTGCTGGAGTTCTTTTTTTTTTTTTTCCCGTGCTTTGTGAAAGAGACAAAATGAGCAAAAGTGAAGGGATAATTAAAACTTAAAAGCATGGTGGACGATGGAAAGTCTTCAATTTTTGTGATAACAGAATGGAGTTGCAAAAGGGGCCAAAAGTCGAAAGAAGACATGAAACTCGTGACAGAGAATTTCATAAGGGAATCGAATGATTGTTTCTTTTTTCTCGTAATTTTTTCAGAATAATATAATAATATCTGTCACATTCTAATATACTTTTTTTACATTTTTAATATTTTTTTTTACATTTTTAATAAAAAATACTAAAAAACACATATAAAAAAATGAAACAAACATACGAGCCCTGTAGATGACCACCTCGACCCCCGACAAATTGATTTCTTTCCTTCCACATTCATTCTCTAAGGTCAAAAATCTTTTTTTTTTTTTTGAAAAAATGAAAATGCATGTATTTCATTCTTCCTTGAATTCGAAGTCAATAATTACAAATTGGAGCTTGTGTGTTGATCATCCCATGACTAATCATGAGTTGCCGGTTGTCATTTTCTAGATCCAAAATATAACCAGGAAAAAAAGAAAGAAAAAAAAAAAAAAAAGCCAAAGCACCACGTGTATGTTATTACTACTGTTCATATGATGCAGTTTACATAAATCCTAAGATTCATTGTACATAAAATTTAATTAATTGACTATAGATAATAATTATATCATAATTTGATTAGCACAGACATCCAATCATCTCTAACTTGCATCGTCAATTCAAACATGCAACAATAATCAATAATACTCTCTCCGTTCCATTATTATTGCCCACTTTGTCCAAAAAATTTTATCCCAAAATTATTATCTCATTTGACTTTTTATGAAATAAGTTACACATTTACCCTTTATACAAAACTATCATTTTACTACTATTAGAACCGGGCTTTGAACCGTGTATTGGAACTCCCTCGTCAGATACAAGGAGCTTTGAACCGTGCATCGGAGCCGGAGAGAGATCAGAGAATCAGACCCGTTTGGGGAGATTAACTCAGAGAGTTCATTTGAAGAGAAAAATCGGATCTTTGAATGTGGAGTTTGGGTTGGGATTAGAGTTGAAGGAGAGGAAAAAATTGGAGGCAATGGATGTTTTTCGCGTTCTGCTGGATTTGCTTGTTTTGGGGGATTCTGAAGTTTTGTGCTAGTGGATGGTTTGGATCCGGTGAAATAGAAAATTATCTTCATGAACACTAAATTAAAACTTATGTAGGAAGATTCTCCAAATTCAAAATTCTTCATAAGAGAATTTGATCGATTATAGGCGCATGAGTGAAAGGGAGGTGATGCTCTGTTTTGAACTGGGTTTGGTTTAACGTGAGAAAAAGTAAAGGAAGTCGTGTTCTTATTGCCGATTAATTAAACAATGTGTGCATGGGTACATTTGAAATCTTAAAGCAAAATGTGATTAAGTTTTGCCAAAAATAAAATCTTGAATCTTGATAAAATTGGACAATAATTTTAGGACAGATGGAGTACTAATATTCCATTCTTTTCTGTTGTAGAAAAATAATCTACATTGTTGCAAAGCCAAAGAAGAATAAAATTTACACAAAGAAGAATAGTTATCAGCACCAACAAAAGTAGTAACATATGAAACGTTGATGATCAAAATAGAAAAGCTTCAGTGTCTGTCAATCTCAAAGAGAAGGAAAAACAAACAAGAAAAGGTATTAATTGTTATTGTCAAAATCGATGGGCTTAGAATTGATGGCCGAAGCCTACTAAAACGCTTCCTTTTCAAGGGCCCAAGTTTCTTACTGCTACAGCCCTATACATAAAGGTCAAAATTCAAAAACTAGCAACCACAAACTTGGCAAGTCGGAATTGAGGTGAATCTGAAGAAGATTTAGTCACCAGGCCGCCAACTGCCAGAACCTGTCCGAACATTAGCCAAACGTAATTTATTTTCCCTATAGTATATACTACTACAAACAGGATTTTCTTTCTTCTTTTGTTTTCTGAAAGTGAAGAAACGGGATTGATTTCTAGCCCTAATGTCAAATGGATTCTTCGTATTAAAACCTCAGACAATGTGAACCCAAAAGATTCCAAATGGAAAAGAAAAACCCGCGAAAAAAGGTCGGAAGTGTTAAATGGATGGGATCTATTCCGCAGTTTACGTCTGAATCTTTTCTACTGATCAATCAATCAACCATATGTTAAACACTCCTTCCTCACGCCAAACCACGTCCCTCCGGCGGTCGGAGACGAGAAGTTGACCCGTATATCCCCACATAGGACTCTGATCACATTTCTTTTGCTCCAAAACGTGTTGTCCGACGAATACGTGGTTTCCATGATCAACCTCAGATCAAACTCCGCCATCCCGCTTTTCCGGTCTTCCTCCATCTGCCTCGCTAACGCCGGAGTTGCCGACCTGCTCCTCATACCCGACCCGGGCTCAGGCACATAAAACGTGGCACGCAGTACGCCTTCGCTGTCCGCCCCGAGATTCAACGGGTCAATCACCTCCATATCCAGAACCAACCCTCTGTAAATCAGGCTTCCTTCGATTTCTCCCAAGTAGAATTCCGTCTTACGGCTTGGATTTCTGGCAGTGATTTTGACTTCCCATTGAGCCTCCAATGTGGTATAGTTATTGGTGACGTTCAAAGAAGGCATTGAAAATTCCTTGACTTGGAACTGGGGCCGGCGGTTGCCTAAAATCAGCCACGTGAATATCCCCAGCATTAGAGAACCAATCACGAAGATAACCGCGAAGATGAAGGTAAGGCGGGCCTGGGAATGGCCTGTGGTTATCTCATGATCAGGAGAAGGTGGGCTTCTGGGAAGCTGGGCTGAAGCGTAATAGGCCGTGCCTTTCGGTATCGGAAGCCCAACCATGCCCGGAGTGTAGGCATAGTTGGAGAAGCCCGGGAACGGAGGAGGGTACTGGGGAGGCTGAGTCCGTGGGTGACCCAACGGGGCATACCCGGCAGCCGTGGGTTCATTTCTGGATTCATCTTGCGACATTTGATCTCCGTGGGAGGGGAGCTAAATCGACCCCCTCCTACCTGCGTGAATGGAGGAGAGGGGATTAATGAATCCCAAACAATGCAAAGCAAAAGACGAAAGGGGGGAGAATATGAGATATGGGGTGGGTTGGAGGAGTATCACATATTGTGATTTTGTTTAGGTACTTTGAGGTGCGTGGCTTGAGAGATTTTGTGTTCAAAGGTTTCACCAAAATCCAACGTTGGTCAGAATATATGCACCAATCTGTACCATTAATCTGTTTCACAACAGATCATTTTTCGGGAGAAATCCTTTTTCTTTTTCCTTTTTTAAAAATCACCGGTGGTTTTTACCATATTTCCATGTTCCCCACAAGCTAAAAACAAATATTTGTCCTTTCCCTATTTTGTTACAGGCTGTATATATTGGGAAAATTACTAAACTTGAAATTTTGTCATAGAATCCAAAACTACAAGCTAGTTAATAGTTGAAAGTTTATAAATGAACATTTGGCAAAAGTCACCATTCAACAACACACAATGGCGATCGAGTTTTCCTCCTTTTTTTTTTTTTTCTTTTTTGTATATACACGAGTATGTGACGGCCGGAAGTAACAATTATTTTTTCATTTTAGTACAAATTACACTAAAAATTAATTATTAAATAAGAAGGTTATTTTGAGACAGAAAATACAAGCACTGTGCATGATTAAAAATATTCATTTGCTATTTATCTTTTGATGTTATTTCATAGTTTAATTCTTCGCCGCCTCATAGTTATCTTAATCTTTTCATTGAGTAGAGAGGAATTAGTTCTAAGAGTTGAGAGCTCCCAAAAAGAAACGTATACGATGAAAAATTCTATATGTTGTGCGGTTTATATATAATATAATGATGTTCATAATTTTGAGACGAAGACAATTTTACACATCATTCCGTTGAAGTACGCACTTGAATTGTTAAAAATGTACGTGCGACTTGATCTGAATCAGCAAAACAAGAATACGTAACTAGGAAATAGGTATTCAATTGTTGAACTATACAAACAGGCTAGTCATTAACTTTGTACATGAGGGCCAGCCCAGACTATTTTCTACGTTCCGAGGTGGGAATAAAATAAAGAAAGATTGCAAAATCATACCCGCATATATATATTTTTTATTTACAAAAAGTCCATAATCAGAGTTATTATGCACAGGCATTGCTAAATTCTTCACACGTTTGGATTTCATAATTTTCAAAAATGTCTTTTCAACAAAATCACATGATGACCCCTTCCTCCAACATCGTTCCGCAGCACCCTTGAAAAACTCTCGTTTTGTCAGAAGTACCAAGAAAATTTCGTATTCAACCACAGTGTATCATCTTATATTAGTCGATGTTCATGCTCAAAAAATGTGATCAAACTAGTGAAGTGAAATCACTGGGATATTTTTCTTTTTCACATTAAAAAATCTGTTCAAAATGTCACAATTATGGATCCTCAACCCCCAACTTACCAAAAAAAGATGGAATCTTTTACAAAGTTTGGTTCTCCTTTAGGTAAATATTAGACATTCAGTCTGAATCTGGGCATCATCTGATAATTTTCCAGAATCTCCTCCCGGTGCTAATTTCACCTTCAAATCTTCACAAAAAACCCTCAAAGTTTCTTTCCTCCAAATGGAACTGGACGCAAATCTGGCCCCCAAACTAATCCTCAAGCTGACGTACAGAAACCCGTTTTTCAGATCAGCGTTCATTTGCTCTGACAAAATCGGCACCGACACCGCCTTCTCGTTGTCCAAATTAATTCCAAGGTTATACACTCGCTTCCCCTGCAGATTAAATGGCTCAACGGAAGCCATTCCCAGTGGGGAATTCTTGTAGAACAGAGAAGCCCTCACGGGCTCTAAAGAAACTTTGACATCCTCATTGGGATTGTAAACGGTGACGTTAGCATCCCAATTCCCCACAATCAAAGTATCCGTTACGGTTAGATTGGAAACAGCGAGATTGGCGACATGGAATTCTGGGATTTCCATGCCGAAAAGGAACCAGATCACGAAGCTCACCATACACATACTCACAATCAATGTCACCATGGTGACCAGCATCACTCGCCCGAATTTCTTTCCGTTATCTTCATCCGGGCCGGCCCAATCCACCTGCCCATAATTTCTTGAGTCATACCAAACGTTAAATGAAGGAGAAACATAGTTTTTGGAGCCGCTGGGCGCCGGATAGCCGCCGTTGAATCCGGCCGGCGGAGGAGGAGGATATGCTCCGGGTTGAACCGGCATGGGCACGGGGTAACCCGGAGGTGGTAGTTGTTGGTTTGGCTTTGCGGATGGAAAACCCATCACAAAACGATCATCTGATTGATAAGCCATTTTCTTTTTTCTTTTTCCTTTTTAATTTTTACTGTAATTTCCTCCTCCCCCTCCTTCTTCCTCGAGGGAGAAATGCAATTTTGAAACTACAAAATACGGGGGAGAGGAGGACTCTGAGTTTAGATTGTTCAAAGCTCAATCAATTAGTACGACATTGATTATAAAGGTTGGATCAGAGGAGAGGTGGTTGTTAATCAACTTGTTATGTGCGATTAGTGTTTCGTAACATGTGGCAATAGAAGTTTTAGAAGTTTCTTTTTATAATCCTTTATATTGAGATATAAATGTATGTCCAAAATTTTCACTTTGGATTGAGTTTGCCGTGTCTTTAGGGATTACTTGAGGCCAATGGACTAGAAAACATGGACAAGAGACAAAAAGGGGAAAGGCCATGGTCTATGTTTCTTTGAGTTTAGAATCAGGGAAAAGGAAACCAAGTCATTTGATATCATTTGACTATCGTATCTTGGCGTAAACAAGACAAGGAATTTGATAGGTTATCGTTGGATCTGATATCAAAATTTCCAGCGAACTTCTGAACTGAATATGGATCAATTCTCAATGCCGTTATTCTCAGAATTTTGGATAGAATGGTCTTTGCTGCAGTTTAGTTCAAGTGCAGAGAAACTTGCTGAAATATTCCCATTCAGTATTTAGCTTTGTCTTCAATGTTCAAACACTTCAACAACATTTAAAGGGAATGAACAGTCCCCGAAAAGTAGTGCACCAGTTTTGTTGGTTATGTGATATGAAATAATCAAATAATATGATGCTTCTTTATAATTCCAGTATTCTGCTTGTTTGTAAAGATGCATATGAGAATCCTTAATATAAAAAATTTTGATTTGTTTTATGTTTAGCCTACTATGTATTTTTAATCGAAATTTTTTTAAAAAAATATATTTTTACATTCGTTGTGTTCTCTTAATTGTTAGAAAATATTTAAAAGTTTTTTTGGCTGTATATAATTTGAACAACATTTTGTTTTCGTTTTCGTTTTAAATTTAAATGAAGTTTAAAAATTATTTTAAATGAGAGTTGAAAATGTTGTATGAAATGTTTTGTTTAAAATATTAATTTATTCACCACGACATCGGATATTGTATGTATAGCATTTATTTTGTATTGGAATTTGAGATTAAGATATGAATGGAATTATTTTTTGGTTGGGCAGGCTGAGGAAACTAGGAATTAGGATGGCTCGTCAAAGCTTTGCCTCGTAGTTTATGTTTATCTCCCAAAAGTACTTTGATGAGTTCATCTTCTTATTCTCTTTTCAGTTTTCATCTTCAAGCTTTTCATCGTAGAAGTAGCAATCTGATCACCCACGTGAAGGCTTTCCTAATCAGTGAAACAAACACAGAAGAAAGCAGCCTGAGAATTGGTGAGAGAAAAAACAGAGAGAAAGGGACCTCGAAAATCCCATTAAAAGCTTTCAAAACGCATCATCATCATGATACATAGAGGTCTACAAACACTAGTTTTCTGTCTAAACAGAAGAAAGGAGCTACACTACTACAACAAAAGGATACAAGGTTCAAACAAAGCTCCATGTCCTAGACTCAAGTTTCCACAAATTTATTATTACCCCTTGGGTTTTTCCTTTATTCTGCCTGTATCTGATTGCTAGAAGCCGAAGGCTTCAATTATTATTGAACATACAGAAGAAGACAAAGAGGAGTCTTTCTCCTTTCTTTGAGCTGCTGTTATTACTACTACTACTGCTACCATTTCTATGTATTTTCATCCCACTGCACTAAAAAGAAAAAAAGTTCCAGAGCCCAATCCCTTGTTTTAATTTGCTTCTGCAATGGACAGAGGAGAGAGAGAGATTTTTTTAATAGGTCCATTCTTCAGGTAAGCCTTCCTCAAGCTCTGCAGAAGCCTCCTGACTGCGGCAATCCTCTTTCTTTTTCTTCTGAGACTCACCATTCTCTTGTCCCATTCTGGCACCTGGAAATTGGCAATACACACACACTTTATCATCCTTCTTTCTATTTGCATGTAGATTGTGATATGAACTTTTTAAAAGAACAAGAAACAAATTCTGCTGATTGTGATTGATGATTTGGCATACACGAAAATGGTAACAATGGCTCTCAACTTTGGAACCCTCTATTTTCTGATTTATATGATTCATAATATGGAAACCCAAAGAACAGTGGGAAATTGCCGATTGGCTCGAGGCGATTTAAACAGAGTACAATCAGAAACAATCGATCCCTCAATCCCATTCCATGTGTCAAAATTCCAATTTAATGTTAAAAATTTGAATCATCACTGGAACAAGGCCGTATAGATGTGCAGTAAAACTAAAGAGAGACATGCATTTATCATACTTGGATAGCTTTTTACTACTAATTCCTTTGGCAGTGAACCTCATTACAACCCTTTAGTAGTATTTTAAACATCCACCCAACCCAATTAGAGGGGAAAAAAAAAAAGAACATTAAATTCAAGTCGAAAAGGAATGAACTGCAAAAAGGTATTTCTTTCTTCTTCTTTTGTCCGATGTTGTTCTCTGTAATTAACTAATTAATTTTTAGTCTTCTAAATACACAGAATTCTATTGTCATCTTCTGGATTTAAACTGTCATTTGACCAGAAAATACCAAAAGAGCATCATGAGAAAAAGGCAATTTTTACAAATAAAACCGTCAAAAAAGTGACCATAAAATAGCATAACGGATTACTCTCACCTTGTTTTCTTCCGCGGTTAGCTGGGGTGGAGCTGACATTGTCTGGAATTCGGGGCAGATAAACTCCGGTTCCCCCAAGGAACCCAATTCCTCCACCGCCGGCTCCATCAGACCCTTTTGGGAAAACCCGGGTCGTGGTGACCCGGTTCATCCAAGAACTATACTGCATGGCCTGTAAAGCTCTGGCCCTTTCTGCCATAAAGCATTCTGCCTGCAATTCCGTATAACCGAAAACCTCCCCATTAAAAAAAGCTGAAAAAAAGCAGAACTTGGAAAAAGACAACACCGAAATACGGGTACAGTATAACGTAAGATAGGTCCATTTCAGTATTTTCACCTGGATTTGAACTGGGTTCCTGTTTTTAACCGGGTTACCCGGTCTATAACCGGGCCAAACTGTTCCCGCTCCCTGTTGATATACCGGGTTAGCACCAATTCTACATCCACCGCTTACACAGAAGCACCCTTCAGGTGATGGGCCCCGAAAGGGTCGGTGATCAGCCATTCTGAGCATCTGAAACCAACCAACAACAAATGCAGAGCTTTACAAAATTTAACAGGACAAATCAGTACATAAAGCTGACATGCAAGAAACAAAATTCGAAACTAAACCTGAAAATTTGGAGGAGGAGGAGGAGGCCCAAGATTGAATCTCCTGGGTGGTGGATGAGGTGGGCCTCGTCCATGGAACGAGTAAGAAGTAAAGCCTTGGTGTTTCTGTTGCCCTGCCATGCACGAGGCAGAGTGATGGTAACCAAAATTTGAGTTGTTTGGTCGGTTTTGAATGGGACGGACCTCCGGTGGTGGTTGTTGATCAAGCGGGAAAATATCAGAGGGGAGAAATTTCCAGAGCTCCATTTCAGTAACCAAGTCCGGCTGCTGGTTTTGATTATTAATAATGTTGTCGGCCATTTGAAATTGAAGGTGGACAGCATCTATATCGTCTCAAATTTCACCGGAAGAGAAAAGAGGTGGCCGGAATATCAAGAGTCAAATAAAGGGGCTTCTGACATGGGAGTGGAGTGGAGAAAGGAGAGTTATATTTTGACCAAATTTGACGTTACTGAAAATGAAAATTATTTGGGCTTTATGGGTCTAATGGGGGGAATGACATAGAAGAGAGACCGCCACCGTTAAATAAGGTTAGAAACACATGAATTATTATAATTAAATCTAGGTCCTCGAGGTTAGGATAATTTGTGAATTGTCTTCTTAATTTATAAATACAATGATTTCCTCCATTAATGAGTCTGGACAATTTTCTGAAAATTACAGGAGAAATAAAAACAAATAATAGTCAATTAAAAAAAGAACCAAAATTATAACTGCAATATCCTTCCGGGTTAGGAAAAAATTAAAAATCGAATCGTGATTGTTGAAATGAAGAAAAAGTCTCGAGTTCCCTAAAAAGATTAAAATACTTAAAACTAACGTATAAGTTTCATGTGTTATTCCACTCATAACTGATTGATTTTAAAATGGAATTACAAGTGGAATTATATGACGTTCAAGAGTGTTTAGAATGATAATTATTAAATTATTTGTAAATTATTTCAAGTTTCTCACTCACGTTTCCCAATTCTGTATCTTCTAAAATAGTAACCGGTAAAGCATGTATACAAACACCCACGACATTTACATTTCTGGACGATAATTTCTTTTCTTTTAACAAAAAAGAAAAGCGGAAAGATAAAGTGAAAGGTGATGATTTTATTCAGGGAAAATGAAAAAAGGATAACAACCGAGATGCACTGTTAAAATTAAGCTACAAAATGGCTAACTGGGCATGGATTGAAATTGAGAGAAACAAAAGTAATTTGGGTCATCCCAAAACACAGCTTTCCTATACTGGTTTCCTTTGTCTTTTTGTTTTCTGGGAGGGGAAATTAATGAGTCCGGTTGATTTGAAGTCAATTGGGTTTAGATGCGGAGAACCAGAAGCGTGTGTTGTGTGGCCTTGATGGTGTTTTTATATATACTAGTGATGTCTGGTCGCGCAATACGCGACCCTGGCCCAATATATCCGTACATCTTAGAAATGTTTGTATCTGGAAAAAAAATTTTGTATTTGGCCCGATATATTTTAGAAATGTTTGAAAAATTTAGAAATGTTTTATAAGTGTGATCATAGAAATGTTTGTACTTGACATAAAAAGAAATTGTATTTGACCCGGTACGTTTTAGAAATGTTTTATAAGCGTTACTTTTTAAATATAAATAAACTTGATCAAATATATGTCTCGAATTAAATGCTAGACAAAATATAAAAGCATCCTAATAAGTTTAAATATTAAGATAATTTATTGATGTTTTCTGGTTGTGCCAAATCAATACTTAGTTTTGGAGATTTATAATAGCTTTGTAGTAAGCTTCCTTCCAAGGATATACGCTTAATTGTTGAAACTATTTCTTCCAAAAGTTTATAAGTAGTAAAATATCAAAAATATGATTTTGAAACTGGTTAATTGATGAAATTGGTTGATCACAAATATGAGAATGAAAATAATGTAAATTTGCATAGGTTTCAAGTTATACAAAAAAAGAACTCACCTCACCATGACAAATAAGAAAAAAAGAAAGTAAAAGATAACCCATTTAAAATTGAGAAATTTATTTTTTTCCTGTAGGTAAAAATGTTGTATAAAAATACAAATAAACATAGAAACATCATTCTTTCCCTCTCCGCCTCAAATTCATAAAAGGCTTCCTCAGAAATCAGTTAGAAGAAGCGTCCTGAACTATTTAGATGATGAGAAACTAAAAAAAGTCCAAAAACCAAAATTCAAAAAGTATATTCTTGAAAGCCCGAACACAAAAAGAGCGCTTTATTTGCAAATAAAATAAAATAATAATAATAATAATTGGTTAACTGAGAGTATGAAACAAAATAAAAAACAATTAAACAAAGAAAAAATACACTTCGTAACTGACCATATACGAAAAAAAATTGAGACTCCATAATTAAAAAAAGAAAACCACTCTAATTGAATGAAACATTAAAAAGAAATTTAAAAAACCACACTTTGTAACAAAAATTCAATTAATCAATTCAATCCAAACAGAACTAAAATCATACAAAACTTCTAGGCTAACTAACTATATAAGAAATCATATCATATTACCTGACAACGGCTACGGTAGCTGTAACGGATGGACGCATAAAAATAATAGTAATAACACTATTCTTGAACATGAAAAACAAAAAATAATAAAAGCCAAACAAATAATCTGTGAAAATAAAATCATTTAAATTTTAATACCTGTAATTGCACCACCACAACGGCCGAAGCAAGATCAATGAGAATTTTTTTTTTCCTTTCTGTTTATATAGAAAGGTAAAAAGAATATTTTTTGAAGTCGAAATTTTATCTGATCAGGATGTAGTTGATCATCACTAATGAAAAGATTGAACATACTAATGGAAAATGAGTATATTTCACCACATATTCTCAATTGATGATTGATGAGGAATTTATTATTTATTTATTTTTTATTGTGGAGAAGGGATTGATTAGAGCGTCGATTGTCATGGAGATGGGGATGAGGATTTGGGTTTTTTATGAACCCGTCTTTTTTTTTTTATTTTGGCAAAAATAGGAGGTGGAGGTGGATTTGGACTGCATTTGTCTTTTAAGTCTAGGAGATGTGAAAATAAAGATTTATTTTAAAAATATGATGTGAAAATGCCACATGGCAAATGGTTGTGCTTTCTCTTAAGTGTGGTTTTTGTTTCTAATATAGTAAGATATATATACGAAAAAGTGTGTGTCTTGAAGTGTTTTTATATTCAAAATGTAAACATGTGTATATTAAAAATGTAAAAGTATATGTTAAAATGAATAAGTTACTGGAAAAACTAAAATAAAAGGATCTAAATAGAGTCTCCGTAGTTTTCTTTTTCCTTTTTTATTTTTTGGGGAGATTAATGAGTTTGGATGGAATGAGTAAATTACTGTCTCCATTCCGAATTACTTATACAGGGTGTTATGTCTTTCACATAGAGTATAGGGTGTGATGTCTTTGATGTCTTTACTATCAAAGATTCCATCCATTCTTAAATATATGTTGTTTTAAGATTTGTAAATTTTTTTAAAAATATATGTCGTTTTACAAAATCAATGTAACTTTTTTTCTTATTTTTTGTAATGAAAAAATTATTTGTATAGTGGAAAAAAATAGTGACTGATGTGAAGTAATTATGGTCCTTTATTTTTTTGCCATTCTCCTGTTCAAATTTTATCTTTCCTGTTAAATTATTTTTTTACCTTAATTTTTAAATACACATGTATAGTGAATGTGGTGTAAATGTCTTTTCATTAATCACTATTCAAATTCACTATATTTTGTCACTATGTGTATTCATTGCTCTTTTTGTAATATTACTTTTACATTGGTATTGATAAAATTGCTAGAAGAACATATTTTTTTATTGGAGGGAGTGCTAATCTGTCTTTCTAGCAATTTCACCAATACCAATATAACTTTAAATAATGTACATAAATACAAATTTTTCCCTATTTACCACTCATATAACTCATCACTAATCAATATGATATCATTTTAAATAGTGTGTTTGAAATAAGTATAAACTTGTCTTCGTCAACAATAAATAGAATCTCATTTTAAGTAGTACTACCTTCATTTTTTTAATACTCCCTCCATTTTGAAATATATGTCGTTTTAGGATTTAGTATTTTTTTAAAAATTTATGAAGTTTTTTCACAAATCGAGGCATATTTGACTATTTTTTACCAATATTACCCTTGCATTGAAAAACAAACTATATATATAATGAATTTTTTATTGGTTTGTGATAAATTTTATAAACAATTAATAAGGCTATTTTTGTATTTTAACTGTATAATTAAGGTTTTCTTGGTTTTGATGATTTCCTTAGAAAGACATATAAAAAAAATAGAGGGAGTATGTCGCTTTAGGGTATGCACAAACATTAAGAAAGCTATAATTGATAATTTAAGTTTTAGGTACTCCCTCCGTTCCAAAATAAGTGTTGTTCAAGAGTTTGCACACAGTTTAAGATAACAATAAATACGATAGCTAAATTACTATAATATCCTCAACCAACTCCATTAAAATAAATGCTCACCAATAATATTATTTCTTTTGAGGGTATGTTTGGAAATTTTTGACAAAAAATGCATTGGAATCTGAAAACGAAACTTATTTTGAAATTTCTTTGTGTTGCTAAAACGACACTTATTTTTGAATGGAGGGAGTACAATACCTTTTTTCCCCTAATTAAAAGTATTAGAACTCTACAAAAATTTAAAATTTTAAAAAAAAGATAATTGTCATTAATATATGTTATTAAAAGTAGAGAGAGATGAGGGTGAAATAGAAAAAATTGTATCTATTGTTGCATTATAAATGACGTGCGATAAAAAAAAAATTGGATTCACCCTAAAACGAGAGATTAAAAAAAGAATGGTAGTATTTCGTTATTCAGTGCAATGGTAATATTAGAAAAAAATATGATAAAAGTTGTTTTGATTTTGTAAAATACCATAAATTTTAAAAAATATTTGTAACCTCTAAAACAACATATATTATAAATTGAGAGAGTAAGAAATTGGGTTTAGATGCAGAACCAGAAGCTTGTGTGGTGTGGCCTTGATGGTGATGATGACATTAATTTATTAATATGTTTGGAACTTTTTTTATGATTTTTTTTCAGAATAGTTTAATTAATAAAAAATTCATCACAATATACTCTATCCATTTCAATTTGTAGTTGGTTTTAGGTTTGGAGAGATTTTTCAAAATATAAGTCGTTTTACAAATTTTAGGCAAATCAATGACTATTTTTTCAAATTTACCCTCAATAAATGATGTAAATCTATTTTCATTTAGTCTTATTTATAGTTTTAATGTAATTAATGAGGGGTAAAACAGACATTTAATACATAAGTTAATTGATAGATAGTTGTCTCTTTAATTTACGTGCAAAGTTTAAAGTGATTTACATTTTGAAATGGAGGGAGTACCTTTTTACATTTTCAGTATATCTTTTTATATTTCTAATAAAAAATTAGAAAACACATTAAAAAAATGATTAACACATACCAATATAA